GCAGTCTCATGTGCTTTGGCCTGCTCCATGCTGCAGCTGCTGCTCCCACCCCCACTCTGCCCACCATGTGTGGACTCCCACACCTGAGGGACCCTTGAGCAGGGTCACTGGTTCATCTTCCTCTCTGCCTGCCTCCCACTCATTGTCAGCCTCTTCCATCTCCATTGCTCTCTCCTTCCCCTTCCCTCACAGTCTCTTCTTCTTCTCTCCTCAGGAACTCCCTGTCCCCACTCTTCCATGATGGTCCTGCCACCACATCCTCCCTCATCCAACTACACACTTTTTTTTTTCTTGTAGCAGGGCACACAGGCCCTGGTCTTGCCTTGTCCTGGCTTGCACTGCCCCACTGTCAGGCTCACTACACAGCAAGTGCAGGGGGGGTGCCTGGTTGCAGTAACTACCACAGAGGTCCCAGGGACCCTCTGGGTGGTGTTGACATTGTGAACTGTGCTGCATAGTCTAAGAAAGATAACACTCTGAGTCAGCTCTGCCTGAACTCATGGTACTCTGCCACTCACCTTTGTGCAGCCTCATCCCACCTGACCTGGGCCCTCTCCTCAGAGGCCCTCTTCCTCTGCCTTTCTGCCTCCTCCTCTGCTGCCTTCTTCCTTTGGGCCTCCTCTTCCTCCTCCACTCTCTTCCTCTGCTCTGCCTCCAACCTCTCCTCCTCTGCCTTGCACCTTTTGGCCTCCTTGCACTTGGCCTTGTGCTCTGCCTCACACACACACTCTCTCTGCTCAGTCTCCTCTCATTGGTGTGCCTTCTCTGTGGACTTCTCCCACTCAGTGTCAGTGGAGTCATTGGTGAGGATGACCAGATCTCTATCTGTGACTTGGGAATAGTTGTGGACATGGCTGGGGGTTGGCTGGGGGGTTTTGCTCTGGAACTGGGAGGACATGATGATGGGGGGAAGGGATGAGGGTTCAGAACTCTGGCACATGTTTTTAAGCAGTTCTTCAGACTCTGACAGAGCTCCACTGTGGCTAGAGCCATTACCCTTGAGGCATCAAAATAATTTCAAATGATCAACTCATGTTGATCTTGACCCATACATGTGGCCTTCAGGGGTTCAGGCCCTAAGGGGGGGGCACTGTCACCACCATGCATTTGTCCTAGGTCCTCACTCACTCTGCACCCCTTTCTGCTGGTCACTTGCTCACTCTGCACCAACTCTGCCCATCCCCAGATGTTTACAAGTCACCTCCACTCTGACTGCTGTTGGACTTGTACTGCTCTCCTACCAGACCATGCAGGCCATTCTCTGAGGAGTCATGTGAATACCCTTTGGACTTCTCCCTGACAGCACATGATCAGGTACTTTGCAGTGCATGCACTGCATGGTCTGGCACCTGGACTGTTTCCTCTTTGGGATGTTCTGTGTTACCCATTCATGTGTCCTCCATCTACCCTTCATTCATTGTCTAGGAGGTTTTACTTGAAATTTTACAAGTCTCTGTATGTCAGTTCCAATTCCAATTACTGTACCTCTGTAGTAGTATAAAAGCATGTATCGTACTCCACCATTCTGCAGTACAAATATCAACTTAGTTCCTACTCCCTCTGTCTCTGTCTCCTGCCTGTTGGATTTACCTCCAACTGTCTATCTGTACTCTCCCTCTGAAATATGAGGGCTGAGATCATGCAAGGGGGTAGCACATGAGCTAAACCCAATGCTCTCACTTTGCTCTGCCTTTATCTTGACAGACTTTGTTCCTGCCAACACTCTGCCAGTCAGAGTTCTGCTCTTTCTGTCAGACTTGCTTCTGAACCTCTTCCCAGACCTTGTCTGGCATTGGAGTTGGTTGGAGTAGGCCTGGACTTGACACAATGACCCTTTGCACTGCAAGATATGGACAACCAACTGGCCACAGAGTGCCTACAGGAGACACTTGCAAGTGGTCACCCAAAGTGCCAGGTGGCTAACATGCATCCTGGTAGGATTGTCCTCAACAGCCAACCGAGAAGACAGACAAGTGCAGAGAAGGAAGCCAACAATGATTGCACCTGGGAAGCCCTCACCAAAAAGGTTGCAGTGCTGAAGAGAGGTTATCAACAGATCAGCAAAATCAAGGATAAAATGGAGGTCAACCAAGGTGGTGTTGCTACCAGTGCTAAGCCCATCAAGCCATGTCCACATCCTCATCCTCATCCTTGCACTGTTGGCAGGCAAAGAAATGATAGTGACAGTGGTATCTATCATACTTAACCAAGAAAACATGAGGCTGATTTCTTTTGTAGGGACAAGTGAACCACTTACCCCCCTAGCTGACATGGAAGACAATGCTGAACCTGTAGTGATGAAGGGGAAAGGGACAAAAGCAGTAAAGACAAAATTGTTGCATGAAGCAATAATCTCCACTCACAACAAAGCATCCCTGCCATCAGCACATGACAATAGCATCAGTGCTACTACTGGTTTGATGTGTGTCTTACTTCTTAACATGTTCCTCCTAACTGAGGTGACACTTTTCTTTGTGAATGTTCTAACAACTGCCAGCTCTGACAATAAACTGACTTTATCTAAGCATGTCAAAAATTGGGTGAACATCATCAACACAAGTTCTATGCAATCTTTGAGTGCCAGTGCCAGTCCTTGCACATCAACTGCACCACCTCTATCCACAAGTACCCTTGCTACAAGTACTACCAATGTTGAGTTCTGCATATTCAATCTTGGCTCTCCACTGCCAAATGACCCCCAATACAACTACAAGTTCAAATCCCAACTACCAGAAAACTCTGACTTGCCACCCAAATGCAAAGATGGTGAAGCTAGCAGGCCAGTGAAACCCCTGGTTTTGGATGTGGCCAAGGATACTGCCATCAGACTTGCCAACATCAAGAGGAAAGTAGCCAAGTTGGAATGCATCTCAACCTCTGAGGTTGAGGGTGATGGTGTTGATGATAACTGCAGCAATCTAGATGATGCCATCTGTGTTTTGGGGTGCAAGAATGCCATGGCCAAGGTATGTGCTAACTACCTTTCCCCAAGTTTCTTCATCTTTGATTTTCTTTCAGTCATGCATTACAGTTACAAAGGGCATGCCAAAGAAGATCAAGATACAAGCTTGCAACTCTATGTCCAGCTTATTAGCCACATCTACTAGCAAGAGATCTATTGTAGCAAGCAATTTGTCAAGTCAAGTGCAGACCATCCCTGTGCAAGTGTGTTTCAATAATTTGGATCTCCCCTCAGATCTGCATAAAGATCAGAAGTGGAAGAGGGAAGTTATTCCAACACTGATCCTATGGGCCAGAAACCAAGAGGATGCATTCAACATCACCAAGCAAGACATTTGCAGGGCTCTACAGGAGATTATGCTGGTTGTATACCCCATACTCAAGAACACAGCAAGTAGCATTCTTCCCAGCTCACCCATGGTTTCTGTCATAAGTCCATTTCATTCTGACTTCATCTGTAGCTGACTGTGTTTGCCATAGGCATCTCAACACTTGTGTGATTGGAGGCACAGCTTTGCCTCCACAGCCATCACACAACTTGTAGCTTTCTTCCTCAATCCTCAAGACCCATTGCCCACCAACACTGCAAAACTATTACTCAATCATTTCACATTCTTATATGAAGACCTTGACATGACTGTTCCTGAGAAGGCCTTCCACTCCATTTTTGTGCAACAGCTGTTGCTGAGCAGCCATTTGACTGCAACCAAAGGATATATTCAAGTCCCCACTCTTGACACTTCATCTTTGGCAAAGCATGGTGTTGTTGGTGCTCTTGGACTTTGTGCTGCTGTGGTAACATTTATCAAGTCATTGACATAGCTACAGTATTGATTAGTTTTCTAGCTCTGATGTGGCTTGAACCTTGTTAGATCCAGTGATGTCAAGCCCAAGTCCCCTGTCAATGTCAAAGATGGTATTGTCAAAGTGGCAATGAGGTTTGTGCAGACCCCTGTCAAATATAACATGGCTTTGGGCAAGGATAGCAAGACTGCATGTGTATTTTCAGACCAGAATTGGGGAGCCCCAACAAGGAAGTTTATGGGGGCCACCAAAAGAAGATCTATTGCTCAGCTTCAAGCCATTGTAGAGCTCACCCTTGCTTTGCTTGCAATAGGGAAAGAACTTGACCCTGAGCTGTTGAGTGATGCAGGATCTGACAACAAGTACACACTTATCTGTAGGTTTTCATTCCCTACTGGTTATATGACTGACTGAGTCCACAACAGGATTTCTAATATGTCTTCCCAATTGCAATTGCTACTCCATCTATGTTTTTCAATCCCTCCATTTTACTGCTGCATAATTTTCTCCACTGCTACTTAGCATGTGCTTAGCAGATATCAAATGCACCTTGTTGCTACTTATCTGCTTGATGAAACAGAACCAACATTATTTCAAGTAAGAAACTAATAAGCTAAGCACACATTAAGTAAAAATAAGCAGTGCTAAGTAAGTATCCAGCAGAAGGATCTACTTATCCAAGCAGGTGGCTGCTTGGCAGTTGGTATGATTTGCTGATGAGTGACAGACTAATAAGAGAAGATACTCAGGCTTCTATTGTGAGAAGACTGAGGTGCACAAAGGAAAAAACAATGTGCCAAAATGACTGTGCTTATGCAAGATATTACCAGTGTAAGAAACATAATTAATGCACATCAACACAGCTGCCATTGCTCAGAATGAACACCTCCTAAGAGACTCCACACAGAAGTCTGGCCTGATTTTTTCGAAGCCCTGATAAATTATTACATATCTAACTAGCACAGATCAGATGCAGGAGAGTTTCAATGGTGGGACAACTGGAGGTGGGAAGGAGATTCCATGGTGGACGGTAGGCGCATGCATTCCCCTTAGGTTACTGGTTCCGTAGTAGGCTTAGGAGAACAGGACGTGGACGAAGTGTTCCGGTTTGAGGGAAAGTTCGACGAAGTTGGGATGATGCTAGTGCCTGCGGATGGAGGGCGTTTGTCTTTTCTTATCTCACTTACTCGAGGTCACGTGAGGCTTGAATCGGCGCCTTTCTCGAGTCTCCCTGAGTAATACTGCGCTGACGGTCTGTGTCGGTCAAGTCAATCTTCGTCGCTCTGCAGCGTATTCTTGTGGCAGGGCATCTCCCCCTTCCCTCCTTTGAAGTCACTGGAAGTCTGCACCAGCAATTAATGGCCCTTCCGCGCTGGGGAGGCAGCTCTGCTCAATTGTCATGTCGCGCACTTCTCGGCATATTCCTTTTGGCGACACCTGTCTCGTCGATATGGCCATTCTCACCCAAACGATTCTTGAAGAGTTCGCTTATACAAGCAGGGCCGTTAGGACTGGATGACGGCGGACGTATAATTGCTTTCGGCGACTTTAATGGTGATCAATTGTAAGTGCGACGGAGTGTTGTCGTTTATCTGACATCTTACAGCAGATCGTACCAAGCCTGGACGTGCTGTCTCTTGACTCAAGCCAGCAGGAGCTTTCTGTTTACCTCTGGAATCACGGTATGTACGGTTCTCCGAGGCCTTGGGAATGAGTTTCACGGATCTCTGCAGACGAATTTCTATTTCAGAAAGCTTCGTCCATCCAACATCCATCCCCTATTTCTAACGTTGTTCCCGGCGACTTCACGCACGACGGGAAGCTAGATATTCTGGTCATGAGTGAAGACACGTGGCGGGATACACTAAACATGGCCCTTTACCAGGGTAATCATGACGGAACCTTTGGTGCGCCCTCCTGAAATTCGAATCCGTTGTAGAATATAATGTGTTTTCTGCTCGCTAGCCTCCCAGCCTATATCAGTGCCACCATCCACTCTTTCACAACCTATTCCTGTTGACATAAATGGAGACATGAAGATCGACCTGTTAGGGATACCGACTGACAAACGAGGGTCCTCTGATCCCATGCGAGTCTGGCAAAACAGCTGGAATGTATCGAACAGTGAGGCGCCCTTGTTTGAATTGTGGGTAGCGCCTCTGTAGTGCGGGGGTTGTACACTGACATCACTGTAGGACCGATCCACTGTTCAACGGATCTCAGTGTACTCTTGCGTCCCCGCATAGCAATGCAGCGATAGACCTGAACGGGGATTGTCTTGCAGGTAAGAGAACTCCTTGCATTCAACAGTCCGTCTACTGAGCGCGCCAGACATTTTTCTGGTATGCGACGAGGGCTCTGGACAACGGTCGTTTCAAATATGGGTGAACAACAAGGACGCGGGGTTTACGTTGGCGCAGCACGAGACGCTCCCTTCCGGAGTCCAAGCTATCTCATTTGCTGACATCGGCAAGTGCATAGAGGCCGGTATCCCGTTGCAGTCTACTCACTATCGGCTTTTTTTTAGACCGGGATGGTTCGATCGACATGGTTTTCACAACGTGCTCTCACGTATCTTCAAGCGGGGTCGGTTCTGGCTGTTTGCTCAATATAGCATATAACAAGCAGCTACCTGTCTGTCCCTCCACGACCTCACCTAGTGTCAATAAACAAGGCCAGTCAATATGTAGACTGCCTGTGGATCTTTGTAACGCAGACCCCAATTTCCGTTTTGACGTTAGCATCAGTCCGGATAACAATGTGAGATATCTTCACTTAGTTTATATGGCATGTCGCTGATTGGTTGCTGCCACGTTCCTAGGCGCTCACACGGATCCCAATACACTCGCTTCTGGAATCCACATCACAATCCATCGTTGTCCTTGATACCACATTTTCCCCTTCTATTCCGCTACCTATCCGGCTAGGAGATATCAATTTGGACGGCTTTCCCGATCTCATGCTCATTGTTACCGATGGTGGCGCGCGCACGCCGAAGCTATTAGTATCGGAGCCATGTGCTAAGGGTCTCGCCGGCTGTGACCAGAATGGGCGTGGCAGGCGTGGATTCAGGTTGGTACACAAGGACACCGAGAGCTTGGAGGCCATCAAAGATGCCAGGGGTGTAGCATTCTTGGATCTAGACGAAGATGTGAGTTGAACTATGATCTTTAAAAGTTTCAGTGTCAGTGATGCGGTGTCAGGGAACGCTCGATATTCTAGTGCAGAGGACGGGAACACAAGGCGAGGGAACAGTATCGCTCATACAAAACAACTTCTATTACGATGCTTTCTTCCTTAAGGCGATCGGTAGGTCACCTCGGTGCTTGGTGTGCCGCTTTGGCTAATCATCATAGTGCTGAACGGCGCATGTGATGGCGGATGGTGTTCGTTGCCTAATGGTTCTACATACCTGGTGAGCATAATTTCGCTGTTTTTGTGGGACTCCCCTATTGATTCGCGATGAAGCCTTTCGGCGTAAGTTACTCTGGCGCTTCGTATAAATACACCGTCCTCGGTACAGACGGTCGACGGTCTGCTGCTCAAGGTGAATTATCCGCACGTCTGCGTCTCCTGTGCTGACGGTATTGAATAGTGGGCCAATTGCCCCAGACGTCTTATCACGCCCTTCAGGTGCCGTATGCGTTCCTAGGTCTCGGCCGCACGAACAATTATATCGAGAACCTATTTGTTGGGTCGACGAAGCACACGCAGGACCACTACACCAACATGGAGGGCGTCATTCCGAACTCGCGTCTCGTGATTCACCCACCACCAGGCAAAGATTCTGGATCGTGGAAACGCGAGTTGTATCTAAGACCGGGCGAGTGGATACCCTGGGTGACCCTGACAGTCATCATTACGACTGCGATATTGGCAATCATCGTGTTCGTGTTACATCTGAATGAAAAGGTGTGTTATGGCCTTCTTTAATTGGACGTTGACTGCTGACCTGTGCCCTCATATCCGGTTTTTCCATCGCCCTCGTAGAGAGAGGATGAACTGGAGAGAAGGAAGGCGTCACACCATATCAACTTTGATGCTCTATGAGACGAATTCGTGTAGGTTGGTAGTCTGTCAAGTATACTGCGAATTCTCAACGGTGATCAATGAATTCTTACTGGGATGGCCAGTCGTAATTTGAACCACGTCCGAGCACAATAGTCTTGTTTCTGCCTCCGTTGACGACTCCGAACGGCCCTCATCTCTCCCTGAGATATGAGCCTACTGAACTAAAATGATCATATAGCGAATTTATTGGAGTTGTCGAAAGCACAGCCATGCATATGCCTACCCGAGATTATGTAAGCGATCCTGGAGCATCTTGACCCGCTGCGTCAGGTTTGGACGCCGCATTTCCATGGGGTGACTACATACTTGAATAGGGTATCTGTGGGCAAGGACAGGGCGTGGATTTTCGCCGATCGCGACCACATTTTACGGGCCACAGGACCATCAAGTATGCCGCTCAGTTCTGGACGGTGGCTGACTGGCCATCCCCCCTGCCAGTGTTCCATACGTAGTATGTACTCTGTCTCTTGCTCACTCGTTATCCACCTGCTTTTCTCGATTTTTACTCCATCCGCACTCTCGTTACCCCCCAGTTCAGGAACGTCAACCCTCGTACAGCCGCACCATCGCGTTCGAATACAATCTAACGAGTGCAATGTCCATGAAGGACCAGGGCGACTCTTCGTCGTCACCTGCGGTGAGGGTTCACGCGCACGCTCCATGTATTCGCTTCCGGATTCACAGGACGCTGATTCCAGATTCGGTATGCACATCCAGGATCAAGCACTTCCAGTCGTCAGCACGGTGTCTTCAGCCGTGCAGGTCGACTACAGTTCTGCGAACTCCCAAGTGCCCGCTCCTGATATTATCGAGACGGAAGATTCCTTGTTTTCTTTCGATTCTTCAGACGAGCGATCGTGGACTTACTTTGGGGATTCGGTATCTGCCCATGAAGCTCAGAGCCGGAGCCACAATTTTAGCAAACCTCCTACCCGTGATGTTATCAAAGAAATCATTCTTCAGAGCAGACGCGACAAGGGCATCATACCTTTCGACGACGCCGACTTGGACGATGATGTTGCCGAATATATGCCCCCGTTAACTGGATATGCTCATGTGGACAACGTTTCACGCTTGTACTACAGCACGAAGCCAATAAGGAGTTCAATGCGCGATATCGCATGGCCCCTATCTTACGTGTATCCTATTCACGTTATCCTGGACGTTCTACGTGGTTTACGCGAAACTGGCCGGATGATCTTGCCGAAACCCATTCCTGTTTTAATCCTCACCCCAGTGGACTACGTCGGTTCCAGCCGCATCATACAAGGCGAAGATGGTTGGGCGGCTATCGTCCCCAGCAAGACGACTGCTTGGAGTATTATCCGCAGACGTGGTGTTGACAAGTTGTTCAGGCCCCTCTTCCGCGATCCAGCTACTGGTCTCCCTGTGGCAGTCCCGACGGAAAGCATAACCTTTGGTTCAGCGATGTATACCACCCGATCGATGGTCACTGCTATGTTCGGAGTGAACCTGTTTCACGTGTTACCCCAATCACGTGCTGCTCGTGTCACCGATCTTTTGGTGGAGTACTTGGGGGTGTATCTGCTGCGTTACATCGATAACGTAGTGATTCCACAGGAAAGTTGGGACGGGGTTTCGGACGACGAGAAGAATAGGATTTGCCGCAACTTCGCTCCGCATTTACTCGCGGCGTCTGAGCCACGCAGGCAATTCCCGATTGTGAAGTTCTCCTACATCAAGTTCGATGCGAATTTCATTGGCCACGCCGATATTCTCCTTGCGAAATCAAGCTCGACGGAGGCTGTAATGAGGCTGCAACGCGATATCAGGGCGGGGGTGGTCGACAATAATCTTGACACGCAAGACATCAATTGGGACGATATCGGAGACCTGGATGATTGCGACATCCCCTCGTCCGCATCTCCAAGGCCGTAGTGCAAGGTATGGCTTTCACTGGGTAGGGAGACCGTGCTAACCTCTCAGCCGCCTGTTGCACAGAAAGGGTCCTCCCTGTTTTGGTGACCCCCCAGTTATTCGTGTCATTGAAATCAGTTCCTACGTCTCACCATGTTCTACGCACCTCCCTTAACGTACATAGGATTATAATTGAAGCGAACCTGGACTCGGATTCTAAAGCTTTGAACTCACCGCGCGTCGTGACGTTCCTAGGGCGTGAATAGGCACGTGATATGAACACGCGTGGTGGCAGGTCGAGCAGTGGTTAGAGAGCCACGCGCTACGGCCCACTTCCAACCGACAGTGTGGAACGCGATCTCACAACTATGCTTCCTGTGCATGGTTTTTCTAGGCAGGCTGCTCAGAAAAACCATACAGGAAGCCTTTTCGATAGCCGTTGAAATAAACCCTACGAAACCTTTTTACACGGCCGCATCTTGTTTTGTATTTTTTTTACGCAGAGGTCATGGCACTGATGAATGGCTATGTTTGTGACCAGTTATTGTGTCAAGTTCGTCAGCTCGAAGACGTTCTCACCATGAGTCTCGAAGGCTGTGGAGTTCAGGGTGTGTAGTTGTTCACCTGACGCGACAAGGTTATATGCTATAATAAGCTATTGTGTGGACCGTCGACGTAGACAAATGTTTGGAAGGTAGCGAGCATCTTGCGGCTGACCAGTGCATTTGTTTCCAGTTTTTTAATCGCCCCCGTAGAGAGAGCACGAGCTGGAGAGAGGGGCGATCTCGCACCATATTAATTCTGATACTCTATAGGACGAGTTCACGTAGGTTGGCAGTATGGCAAGCGTACTGCGAGGTGACTGACGAACTCTTGGTCTCTTTATACTGGGAAAGGTGGCCCTAGCTCAACGTCATGGCGGCCAGTACGTGATTTGAATCACTTCGGTGCACCACAGCTGTTGTCGTTGTCACACTCCGTTGTCCTCTCATACGACTCCGAAGTGCCCTCGTCTCTTCCTGAGATGGAAACTCACTGAACAGAAGTTATGAATCTACCGTTGCATTTCACTGGTAACTAGTCTCCTGACAATGTCCCCCAACACTATCATACAGCTTGTACATGCCGTGGAGCAACTATATAACAAACGCAAAATGTCAACGCGTGGTCAGCTTGAGCAAACAGCTCATCCTCATTTGGGGTGTCGATGAAACGTACATTGCATACTACTCAGTTTCTCGCTGATCTTCAAAGTCTTCTTCCCCCAACAATCGTCCATCCAGAATTTTCCCCATATGTGTCGCTACGAAGTTCATCCCCTTCCTACGCAGGTTGGTAACATAACCGAGGAAAGGAAGGGGAGATCTCCGGAATGAGCCAACCGATTGTGCCTTCCGAGGGCGATGGGCAGGTGGTATGAATCCATCACACTCGACCTCCAAATCCCCTTCATCGGCGAGATCCTTGGCATAGACGCAGAGGAAGCGACAAAGCCGAAGATACGTCTCGTAGTCGCGCAGGTACAGCTGCCCAGAAAACAAGTTGACCTGGTCTACGAGTGAAGCGGGTGCAATCCAATCAGGGCAAGCGGGAGGAATTGTGTATAGACGCAGGTCGTCACACGGACGCATTCTCGCTTGGGTTCGTGGCGTGTAGACGTGCAGACATACGGATCTGCTGCTTCTGATTTCTGGTAGTAACTCGTCTACTTCGAATGGGCTAAGGATGACGAGAGTAGGGTGCCCATTTGATTGGCTCGAGAGTACCCAGCTAACTGGACGGAGGTACTCGCCAACATCCACTTGTCTTCCCCGTACCACAGTGCAGTAATCGGAAGTTGCAAAGAGATGTCGGGACCACACCTCCTCTTCTTGGGTAGGTGCTGTGGCATCGCAGAATGAATTAAACATCAGAATGAAGGCGGTTGAATTAGGAGTAATCATGCCACTGTACACGAAGCGACGGACATCCGCAGAAACCTGATGCACGGCTGGGGTAGCTGGCGGGGGTCGTTCCACTTGTGTTTCGCGTTCTATTTCACGGACAATTTCTCGTTCCTGTTCCTCGTTCATATTCAACTTCGTCGAGGAGGAAACGCCAAGCTCTTGGCACCGCTGTTCGATTGCCGGGATAGAGAGCGTTGGTTGTGGGTTAGAACTGGACGGCGCATATAGCTCTTCCAGGGTTTTCGCATCTGGTTGACACCAGGTAGCGGCGAGCTCTTCGGAAGTTATCTCGTCGCTGCAGAACTTCGACCACGCGCGGTACTGCAAAGCATGGTCTTTTCCCTGCTGAGCCCAGTGGGGAGCGCTGTTCTGGATCTCCGTGCACGTCTCGCCCATGGCCCACAACAAGATGTCTGATGAATGTATCGTGTCTCCGTCATTTTTTCTGGCTGCATGGCGGATACTTCGGTCTACCTCCAGAGGACCGAAAAAGATCACAGAGTGACCATGCCCAAGTTTACGCATGCGCATACACCCTGCCACTAAGATCAGTGGCATGCCTCATCAACCGATCCCATAGTCATACCTTGAGCAAGGCGGTCTTTCGTAACTTTGGTCCCCAGAGTGACCGCTGCACGGAAACCGATCGGAAACTTGATGTCGGTGCCTCGTGTATGTGCATCATCGAGATATATGATGCATTCGTCCAGTCGACTTGCATACGGTGACTCTGAAAATGATTGTGTGGCTCCTCCACGTGAGAGCACGGTCAGCTCGTCATCATCGTTGAAGTAGATGGCGGCAGGCACATCAGGTTTCAACTTCAGCCAGAGCTCCACAAATTCCTTGTTTTTCAGCTCGAGCACTTGAGCACCAACATCCAATACTACGCGTATTTCGGGCTTTTGTTTCTCTACGAGCTCAAGGAATTCACAAGTAGTTCGTCGCCGACCCTCTGTCGACGATGTTTGCACGTATGCGTCATTCTCCGGCCTCAGGAGGTAGGCGAGAACTTTCGCATTGGTAGCGCGCTGGTGATCAAGCTCACATTGTATAGTGGAAGTCGGTAGCAGATAGCGGGCATCGTTCGTCCCAGAAAATCCTAACGATAGAATTACTAGAGGATTTTGTAACTAAGCAATGCACTTACCAGTGGTTACGTGAGCCCGCTCCTCTGCGAGGTCCCACCCGCAGCTAGACAGCTTTGAGGGGAACTCCTTAGCCTCCTTCGGGAAGACAACTTGTGAAAGATAGAAGTCGATGATCGACTGATTGTACGAGAATATCGGAATAAGGTGGTCTTTCCACTGGTCCAAAGACTGGGTGTTGATGCCGCTGATCTGACGGAGGTGTTCAGGAACGTCAAGGCAATCGCGGACCCATGAATGGTATTCTTGGTCTGGATTGTCTAGCATGAACAGGCGGTCGAAACATAGCTTCAGCTGCTCCTGATCCAAGCCACCATAGTAGTACGAGAGACAGGTGAGCACTATGGCAACGTCTGGATGGCCAAATTCTGCTCTCGGTGCTGGGATGTCCTTCGCACGGTAAGGGACGGCAAGCATCGTCCGAGGAGGTGCGAGTCCGTAGCCAACGCGCCACCGTCGCTCCATTAGTGCAAACGACAAGATTCCAGATGCTAGAAGTCCACGTAAATGTAACAAGGACATCCACATGGCGGTGCCTCCACAGTAGTCCCGTATCATTTGGACTTCGGAAGGGGCAACGTCCATGCGGGTGATAAAGTGGTGAATTGCAGTACTCTCATTTCGACCGAAGTTGAGTAGGCGTCCGTCAACGACGTCCTGAGCAATCCTAGAAATAAGCTCTTCGCCTGCCTGTTCATGGAGAATACGGATGTGAGGGAAAGCACCACTGCGACGGCGGCATTGCTCGTATTCCACATCGAGCGGAAAATCTTCGCGGAGCATGGGGGCATGTTTCTTTACCAGGTGGAGTATCTGTTGCGCAGTCAACCACCGAGTGGGAGAGCCATCCAGAGGTCTCTGTGGACCAATAGCATAGATCAGTTGATTTCGAACGTGCAGGATCTCATCACTTTCATCAAGGATATCGCGAACGTGTGAGTGAAGCCACCGCTGAGTCTGCAATAATTGTTCAGCGATGCCCGCGGTACCATCTAGTTGTTTCTCGACGCTCAGTAGCTTGAATGACAGGATATGTTCTGGTTGAACTACGAGGATGCCACGTTCGCGCATGCACTGTTCTAGGATTGCCTGGACTTCTCTGGCGCTCGAACTGTCTATTTCCAAGGATCTTGAAAATGGCAGGTAAAAGACTCGTCTATTGACGAGTCCACCAAGTCGATGTACGAGTAAATGGAACATTTGGGAAACGAGGGCTTTCGGGACCACCACTCGGACGAGTTGGTTTCCATCCGCGAGGACCGAGGCCGTTGCCGGCACGATTACTGAGGACTTGCCTTCGCCCATATTCAACTGCAGGACAGCGTTCTGGCCGGAACGAGGAGCTATCATTTCTAGCGCAACATCTGCTTGGGCAGGACGGACTAGGAAGTCTCCGTCCAGCTGAAATGAGAATAGGAGGAGTGAATAAGCTTCACACAGAACAAGTAGTGACAAAAAAAATTACCTGGATTAATAGCCAGTCCACATACGACTCTGCTTTCCAACCATCGCAACCGGCATTCTCGATTTCCTTGAGTAAATCTTCAGTTGGGCCATTCTTCGCCAAGGCAAGCATCCGGCGAGCGCGCTGGTACTCCAATGCGAGCTTCGCGAATGCTATTAAACAAACTCGCCAGTCACGAGACAATCGAGTTTGCGACGTCGATGCGAGGCAACCTAGGAGAACCTTTGCTGTGATGCGCGGCCACCGGCAAGATTTGTGGATTGCGTGGTCGCTTGTCGTTTGCGGACCCAAGCATTCTGCAAGTGATATTAGAGTGGACGTGTACATTGCCCTGCTCTGCTCATAATGGGTCCTGAGCGGCTCCACCAAACGTTGGAGAGCATCCACTTCTAGATTTATCTGATCATGACTAAGATGATCCGCACTCCGTTGGAGCCCATCTGCATACATAACCTGAAACACCGAGTTTGCATTCTTGCGAAGGTCATCAATCAGCCCGCTGGATAAGTAAGATTCAGGACGGCGTATACACATAGAGTAATATAATAAATACCAAGTTAGAGACCGGGAAGGGGTCAGGGCGAGTGGCAGCTTCTGGGGCGGAGGTACAGCAGGCGCACTACGATCGAAAATGTCCTCCAGGGTCACCTCCCGGTGAGTTGGTTGGTGACCTTGCGAAAATGGTACGAAGAAATATTGACTAGCGAGTGAAGTCGTACCAAGAGACCCCATGAGTGGGCGGGCAGGTTCTTGACCAAGGATTGACTCCACGCGATTCAAGTGATTCTTCAACTCCATGTTCCGGTAGCAACTCGCAAACAATTCGCAGAGATCAGAATCCAATGCGGCAGTGTAATACCAAGAGGAGTCTAGGAAGCGGCAGCAACGAGGAGGCTTCATACAGGGCCATGCAGCGGCCACATTCTCAATTATCTCACTCCTTCCCTGTTGGAGCTGCTCCCTGTACTCTTCTGGACTTACGTAGTCCTCGTAGGGGCGTTCCTGCTGGGAAATGAGCCTGTTCAATGCGCGTGATGAAGGCCTGTACCCATCAGAGAGGGTGTAAGCTGGGTGGTTAGGTGGATTTTCATCCCTGAATTGAGGCATCGTTGCGAATGCCAGTAATGTACCGACAACGTCTTCGAGGTTCGGAGAGGCAAACGCCATGGCAGACAGAGAGAATATCAGTTGAAAACGATGCTGCGGTGCCTGACTCCTACGACAGCTATCATACAGTGAAAGCCAGATCGCAGGCAGGTCTGGGGACAACCATTTTCTGTTGTAACGCAACGGAAATCCCGATGAAACACCTTGCACAGCGTTCCACGAGTCAACTAAGGCTTGGGTGTTGTTCACTGGACGATTCTGAGTCGACCAATGGTAAACAGCAAGGGCAGTGCTGTATACACGGAATTCATCGGCGGACAACAGTTGTATGTCCCTTGCCTCGTAAACAGAGTCAGATTCACCACCTGGAAGGGGATTATCAGACGACGGTGGATAAAGCACGGCAGCCCTGATTGCAGCACGACGAAGTAGATGGTCATCACACGGTGGAAAGTCTTCGAATAGTGGGGTAGATCGACCATGGAAATCTTCTAGTTTTTGCTGGATCTCCTTGATAGACGAACAAGCAAGGTACAAGCCATGGTGCTGAGATGCAACCGGGAGTCCTGCCAGCCAATGCACAGTTTGCATGTGCCTCAGATGTATGGGATACCACATTCGAGGAGTGGTCAATCCCGCAATGCGACGCAGGAGTTTAGCGGAGAGAGTATCGAACTTCATGAACGACCGGCATGCGGCAGAGTGCAGAATGGATAGAGCTTCCTCTGTACCTGTTCTGTTCGTTAGAGGGTCCACGGAGCACGCTTTGCTGGTCAGTGCATGCAGATAGGCTCGATAAAGATTGCCCGCAAGGCCAGCGCTGCCAACCAGGCATCCAAAGTTGGTATCAATCCGGAATATTTGGTATCGGAACCGCCTGCACGCTGGACCCGATATATCGATCGCGACCTTCACATGATCGTCTTCCCTTGCGGATAACGCATCCCCTTCTGGTACAAGAACGAGCCTCTGGACACATTCAACGGCTAAATTGGCCTTGGGTCGCAAGACTAACTTGTTTGCTAGTCCGATCAATGTTCCCGCAGATTGGTTTTCGTCATACACCATGCCACGAGGATGACGGCACTCCAACTCCCAGTCATCGTTGATGAAGAAAGAAAGACCGTAGCGTGGTAAATTGACAAACACCCTTGACTCTTCTAGCACGATGATGAGGTTTCGGGGATTTTCCAAAGGTTGAAGCCGCTCGGACAACATCCGCCAAGTTTCACTGCGGACATCAAAGAGTGCGACATCTCTCTTAGTCATTGAATGCCGTCCAGGTGAAAGGTGAAGCATCCAATTATCGGGGGACGACCCCCACGGATTATCTATAGGGCGAACCTCCATCATTTGAGTCTCGAGGTTGATCCAGTGTACGTGATTCTCAACCAGTTCAGCGGGGAGATCGGATGCCAACATCTGAGGAGGAATCAGCTCCAGAACATTCTGCTCAGTTTCTTTTTTGGCCCGAATTATCAACCCGCCCGCTCCCATTCGGAAGTAAACCTACAGGGCCAATCTCAGCCCTCAGCGGGATACAAATCGCCCGGAATACCTACGCGATATTCGGCGATCAGGCCGCGAGTGGCATATTCCATTCCAGCCATATCACCAGGAAGGACCTCCGGACCTTGCTGCTCACAGTCAGTATACGGAACAGATTGACATCAACACACATACAGCATCGAAAAGCAAAGTAAAAATCGGATCTTTTCTGATCTCATCCGGTAGTCTCCCTATCGTTCGACCGTCCACCAATAATGTACCGTTGAGGACATTTAAGTGTACTTGTTGTGAGCACCGGGCCGCGGAGCTGGCCGTATTGGTGGTGAACCAACTGCAATTACCAGTGTCCGCCTTCCGCCACTGTGCGCCTCTGCGGTACCCTGGCCAAACGTGTTTGATCCCGAGATCAATGCCGTCATTCCCTTCCAGGATCATAGAGCCGACAAGTTCCTCCAGTTTCCATGATAGGCGACAGTCACGTTCTATAAGAAGCCTCGGCATTCCAAGAAGAGCACTGAATTGCGGAGGGGTGTTATTATTGATAGCTACCGCACAACACACTAGAATCTCCATAGCCCTGGGAGAGTCCAGAAGCAGCTTTGCGTTATAAAGATCTACGTCAAAAGTGCTGCGGCAGACGGCGGCAGAGTCACGAAGACGACCCCGAAGTTGTTCCTTTTGGAGCTCGCATGTGGCCTGTTCCAGTTTGTGAAAGAGTTCCAACACCCAGCAGAATGTCTTCTCCCGAACAGTGCGGAGTAGCTCGAGAGCTCTATGGCAGCTGTGGTCTTCGACCGCCGAAAGCATCCTGGCCACCACAAACGAAATCGTGTCCATCGTCGTACTCTCCAGCCAATTTCCCGACACAGTCGACACAAGAGTTTCGATTTCGCCCAAGAGCGAGCGACGAAAATGTGTCCGCTCCAGCTCAGCATGCCATATCAACTTCCTGTTATCTGACACGGGTCCGACTTGGCTGGCTGTTTGAGCGAACAGTATGTGGACTTCGTCACGACGAAGAGTCAACGTATTGGCACGAATTTCCCGCAAAATATTGAGCCACTGCAAAGAGGGACCGCTACGTAGGTGGCCATATGCTATGAACTCGTGCATAGACAGGTCTTCACTGCAATCAGCCTGACTGCACAGCACCTCGTTTGACGTGTGGACAGTATGTTGAAGATATCGCTGTAAATTTTGATATGAGCCTGGTGGCAGCTGATAGGCGCAACTTCCAGATATATCCACCGCCTTGAAGGCACCAGCGAGGGAGACGCAGGAACGCTTATCGTAGTAGTAAAAGCTGAGACCGTTGTTGACACAAACTTTGTTCTCCTCAGTCGGTACGCGTGTTGAGCGGTAGTGAGACATTGTGAAAGGATTCGTGTCCGACGCCAGTGTGACACGACTTCTCGCGTGTTCAGTATGGTATGGGTACAGCGCAGAATATCCTCCTAGACAAGTGTGAGGATATTCCTGCGTCAACTGAGGAGAACAGATATCAACAAGGAGGAGGCAAGTGACCGATCGCCACATGTCGAAAGCAGGTGGGCGATTCAGCTCGAAGACAACCACTGCGGCACGATAATGATCTTCCGGGAGGGGCCATTCGTGGACCGTGATCTCGATTTTTGACTGGGCTTCAAGGCTACACTTCCCGCAAGAAGAGCTGTGGCACGTTCTCCCAGACCAATTGATGTAGTAGTCATGGTCCATTTCCGCAGCACGCCTTGTGATCTCATAGTAGCGCTTGTTCAGCTCCCTGAGCTCCAGAAGTTTTTCTCGCCGTTCCTGGAGAGCAGCTTCGTGAATGCGGTCCCTAAGGGCTTGCAAATGCAAATCCCGGTTGAAGTAGCGCACTGCGAAGTTGTTCGTGTCCGCGCTGTCCGAGAATACAGACAATACAGACCACCCACTGCTCGCTCCGAGGTGACGTTCGCGAACGTAGTCGTATGCTAGGCAAAGCCGCTGGATGTCATGTGAATCCCTAAGGAGCAGTCGCTCCAGCAGAGAAATAGGTATTTCAGGGGAGTATTCACGAAGCATTGGAATCTGCTGTATGACGAGTTTGTCTGATGCGACCCACAGTTCGATTACGGTAAGAAGCATTCGTGAGAAGTCTTCTGGATTTCCTCTGTAGGTTTTCATAGCTGCCGATGAATACTCGCTGGCTAGGAGCTCCAGCTTCTCGCATGGTGCATCGGCGTCATCCTCCAAGGCATCGGCAACCCAATTATCAATACCGTAGCCAACCTCTCGTTCCACATCATAAAGCGTCAAACGAGGGTCTGCTTTATAGGCATCTCGGAAGAAGCGGCCAGTCATCGATAGAAAATCATCCAAACTACCACGCAAGCGGCCGCCGGTCATAGAATTGGTGGGACGCACAGTGGAGTAGCTTGAGTTCAGGACGTCTCCGATATACTTTTGACTGGTATGTAGTGAGAACTGCGTATCGGCCGGGAAATCAAGGGAATAGGGTTTCCAAATCGGCGTCAAGGCATCGCGTTCCCGCGCCTGCTTCCACCTTCCATCCAACAAATTCCGAATCTTCGTACATGTCTCTAGCACAGCGACTGTCAACCAATCTGGGGCTGACTCTCCCAATTTCGTCAGGCGGCGACTAATCTTGGCAGATATCCAGTGCAGGACGTCATCAGACATCCCGGCGTCCAAAGCTTCGCCGGCGAGTCCGTTCATGAAGAATAACATGAATGCCTTGTAGCCGTCTAGTCCAAGGCCATTTCCTGCAAGCGTAGTCTGCAGTACGACTCTGATCATCAACCAGAGCGAAGAGCGACGCCAAGGGAGACAGACATCGCGCCACACGACGTCATCACCGATGCGTCTGTTGATTCGCTGGACTTCGGCAGGCCTGCCAACCGCCCGCAGGATGCCAGTCAACAGCTCGGTTATGTACCGAGGATGCGCCGTATCCCGTTCCTCGGAAACTGTGGAACCTGCCTTTCGGGTGGTAGGAGTTGCAAGACTGTCCTTGTTCATCTCGCAGAGGAAATGTGCAAGTTCGGGGCGGAATACAGCATCATCAAAAACCACATTTGGGACAGCGATCGCGGGGCCCGGGTATGAACACACGAGTTTACCACAGGAGCCCATGACCGCCGCCGCAGTGGGTGACACTTCAAATGATTCTGCAATGGTTTCCTTTGTACCTCTTCTGAATACAACAGCTGCGTTCTGAGCACGGATAAGATAGGTGACAACATCTGTAAAGAGTCAGCACGGGAAAAGAACTACCTTGCGACATACAGTACATACCTCCCGCTGTCATAGATTCAAGCTGGGACGCCACACGATTTTCCTGTAATTGATGAAAATCCATCGCCTCGCAGAGATTCTGCAACAACTTCTTCACGCATTCCCAACGAGCTTTTTCAAAATAACCAAGGTTCCTATAAAACTCGAATGCCGAATCGCACACTGCTTTAGATAGAGCAAGATCATTTGAGTAAGAATGATCATCTCCGCCAGGAAGCTGCAGTGGACAAAAAACGTGCGTGAGTTTGTACTCCAAAGACATATGTATGTCTTTCAAGGACGAATTCATTCAACGATTAGGTTAGCAAGTGGACGTGCAACCTTGAGGGAGTCAGATGCGGGGAGAGACAGCTGCAACAGGACCCATCACCCTGACTTTATATATGCTGTAGGGCGTCTACTTTGCCTTGAGGCCGCCAACTTCTGATAGGTCAAAGATTGGGGTACAACTGAATAAGGAAGAACTCACATCAGGAGGAGATAAGTGGCTCGTTTTCGTCAACTGACTCGGACGTGCTCAGGATGACGGTGTCCGAAGCCATTCTCAATTATCATGATTGAATAAGTCCCACTCTTCTCATTGAGTGCCAGCGAGTTTATATGTCACTGGGACCCTGGAAATATGTAGCCTGACCGTCTTTCAAACCTGGAGAAATGACGGTCCCGGGTGAGTTATCTGGTGGCGGTGGTGGACCCACGGAGGAAGGCCTGGAATCAGGGTTAGCGTAACCCTATATCAGAAGACTAAAGAAGTACAACTCTCACGGTAGGTCCGAGGGGTGTCTGTTGCAAAAGAGCACGCTGCTTGACATAACTGTTCTGTGTAGATAGGTAACATATGCATCTGAATGTACAGGCTCCGTCTTTGCAACAGAAGCTCAGCACCGGGGTGCAAAATAAAAGTATATGGATAGTACTTGATATACACTCTCGACAGGCACCCTTGGACGCCACAGGCACAAACAGAGAACATGAAGGAAACGGAAGGGACTTGGTGTCTTTGCTGCGGACGAAGGAGAACGAAGTTCGAACGGAGAACGTCAATGTCATGTGCACCAATGTATGACCAATATCATTCTGCAAAGCTACACGCTCGAACGTGCATTCGCCCGAGGAAAGCCGTACGCAAAGCTGAATCTGCCGCCTTCCGTCGGTGGTGGTCACACCCCATCAGTCGGGTGACGGATCATCCGGCAATTCCTGGACTGCGTAGGAATGCTGCCTCGAGCGGAACTCTTCACGAGCATCGTACGAGATATCCATTGACCGTACACTGAAACCAAACAAAAAAAAAGACAAAATGTGTTCTTAGGGACCCGCTACACTCCTGCAAGCTTTGTCTTTGACGCAAATCCCCTCTCTAGGCGAGCAGTCTTCGTGTCTTGGTGTAGCGCGTCAGTCCCCTTTCGCCGATGCCCGATATCATGTGAGCGATCCTAGAGCATTTTGACCCACTGCATTGTGCATCAGGCCCCAGGTTTTGACGCCGCATTTCCATGAGCGTGACTACGTACGATAGGGTACCTGTGGGCATGGGCATCTGCAGAGGACATGGGTTGTTGCCGATCGCGACCACATTTCAGGGACCAAAGGACCACTAAGCACGCTCAGTTCATGAGGCCGGTGGCTGACGGGCTGCCCTCCCCCGGTTCCATACGCGGATATGTACACTATCTCTCGCTCGCTCGTTATCCACCCGCTCTTCTCAACTCCTCCCTCATCTGCACTCCCACCTCCCCGCTCTCCAGGAACGTCAACTGATGTACAGCCGCACCATTGCGTTTGAATACGAGTAAGATGTCCATGAGGGACCAAGGCGGATCTTCGTCGTCAACTGCGGTAAGGACTACAGTGTCTGCGTCCATCACGCTCCTTCCAAGGAGGCGCTCTATATATTCGCTTTTGGACACGTGGGATGCTAAACTGAATTCTTCATGCACGTTCAGAATCAGGCGTTTTCAATCGTCGGCACGGTTTCTTACGGCGCACAGGTCGACCATGGTTCTGCGAATTCCCAAAAACTCGCTCCTCTTATTACTAGGACGACAGGTTTCATATGTTCTCTTGGCTTGTGGACCCACTTCGAGAATTCGGTATCTGCCCATGAAGCTCAGGACCCGAGCCACAGATTTCGCAAACCTCCTACCCGTGATGTCAAGGAAATAATTCTTCAGAGCAGACGCGACAGGGGCATCGTATCTTCCAGCAGTACTTACGTGGACGATGGTATTGCCGATTACCTACCCACGTTAACTGGATATCCGCATGTGGACCATGCCTCGCGCATATACCACAACTGGAATCCAATAAGGAGTTCACTGGCGAGGCGCATCGCCCCTATCTTACGTGTATCCTATTCACATCATTTTGGACGTTCAACATGCTCTCCGCGAAATCAGCCTGATGGTCCTGCCGAGACCCATCCCTATTTTAATCCTCTCCTCGGTGGACTACATCGGTTCCAGCCGCATCATACAAGGCGAGGATGGCTGGGCGGCTATCGTTCCCAGCAAGAAGACCGCACGGGATGCCGTCCGTCGACGTGGTGTGGATAAGTTTTTCAGGCCCCTCTTTCGTGATCTAGTCACTGATCTCCCCGTGGCAATCCCGACGGAAAACGCGAGCCTTGGTGTAGCGACGTACACCGCCCGATCGATCGTCACTAGTATGTTCGGAGTGGACCTATTTCGCGTGTTACCCGAATCACATACTAGTCCGTCCACTGAACCTTTCGTGGAGTACTTCGGCGTGTATCTGATGCGTTACATCGATTGCGTGGTGATGTCACGGGAAAATTGGGACAAGATTCCAGACGACGAGAAGAACAAGATTTACCGTGACTGGGCCCCGCACTTATTAGAGGCGTCTGAGCCGCGCAGGCACTTCCCGATCACAAAGTTCTCGTACATCAAATTCGATGCCAATGTCATTGGCTACGCCGATATGCTATCCGCAAAAGAACCTTCCACGGAGGCTGTAATGAGGCTGCAACACGACATTACGACGGGGGTCGTCGACGACAATCTTTATGTGCAAGACATCAACTGGGATGACATCGTGGACGCGGATGATGGCGACATTCTCTTGTCCGGATCTCCGAGGTCGTAGGATTACAAGGTATGACTTTCACCGAGTGGGGAAGCTGCGCTAACCTCTCAACTACCGGTTTCACAGACAGGGTCCTCATATCATGATTCTATGAATTTCTTTCCTGTTTTTGTGACCCTCCAAGTTATTGTTCGTATAATTGGAATCTACTTCCTCTGATGTTGTTCTACGCACTCTCCTTAATATACAAAGGAATATAATTGAAGTGCATCCGCTGCGGCTTCAGATCTATGAAAGATTTTGGATTCGCGCCACGACATTCGGAGGCCTGAGTAGGCGCATGGCATGACTCCACGCCTACTCATAGTCTCGTTCGCAGAATTTGGTTAGAAACCCAAGTCAAGTCGGTAGAGAGATGGTTGTCAATCGCGGACAGGACCTCACACTTGCAGCAGCTGCCAGAGTGTACCAGACTGGAATACCACCGTACTAATTGATATAGCTCACGCCGCCTCTGGCAGCTTCCCTTGTTCAACCGCCCCCCGACATGTCACGTGATGACATGCCAGCCCCATCTTTTTGTAGCATTTAGTGTCTTCCGAGTCTGACTTGCATATGTTTTGTACAATACATCCCTTGTTATGTTAGGCCCTGAGCCCACGGATGCCTGCTCTAACTGTCTGTCATCTCTGGCTAAGCTGCAACCCGTCTATTGTTTTTGTATAATAAAAAGTTGTTTGCACATGTATTGCTGGGTGCTGACTAAGCATGCAAAAATGCGTACTACGAGGCAAAAACGCAGTAGTCCTAAGTCAGAAAGGAAAGCAACAGAAATAAAACACATAAAATATATACCATTCAGAAGGTTTCGTCGAGTAGTACCATAATTTGAAAAAGCGAGAAGTAGGACAGCGAAACGGGCGAGCTATAGCGTACGCACCGGTGAGGTATCGCCTGGGGGAGGGAGAGGGGAGACCCTCGAGTGACAACAGCTGGGGGGATCAACACCAAATTATGGCAGATGGTAGGGAACCCGCAGATATACACCAGAAACAGGAACTACGCCATTTCGACCACCCAGTCCAGAGCTATACCCAAAGTTGCCTCACCACCCCCTGAATACAAAAACGGGCATATCTCGACAGTGGCTGCGCGGAAATGGATGAAAAATGTATCCACAGCAAGGGTAAAGCGAGGGGAAGAAACCGCCCAAAAAGCGAGAGAAACGGCAGAGAAACGCGTGAGATACTATCTCAAGTCCTCAAAGGTGGGGAGAGGAGAGTCGCCTGAACGACAACGGCTGGGAGGATCAACAAAAAACACTGGGAGATCGTAGGGAACACCTCTAAGAGTGCAGAGAAAAGGGAACCGCACTAACCTGACCACCCAGTCACGAGGTATACACAAAAGCATCGCACAGCATCCCTAACACAAAAACGGTCATATCTCTATAACAACCGCACGGAACTGGATGAATGAAGCGTCCCCAACGACGGCTGAGTGAGGGAAACAAAGGACCCGAAAGGCGAGAGAAACGGCATAGCAACACGCGAGATACAACGACGAGACCTCAAGGGTGGGCCTTCCCACAAATATGCTGGAACTGCTTGACCTGTCAGGAAGATCCTATGACCAACAGAAAGCTATCGCGATCCTGAAAAAAAGTGAGAGATGTAGCACAACTTACACCTATTATATTTATGGCACACATATGGAGTGCATCACCGGTAATAGTTTTTTTTTACTGCCTCGTCCACACCACCTGCGCGTCGTTGACATTCCTAATTTGGAATACCGCTGGTATATCACGTGATGCCCCGTGATATGTCGGGCGGTTGAGCTAGGACAGATGCCTCTAGCACCTCTCACTGCCTATAAGCAATGCCACACTCAGGAAACCTTCTACGAAACAGTAGGCGCTGAGACAAACACCATGAAAACAGGTATCCTCGCTGCAAGATTGCGCTTCTACACAGATAGTTTTCGGACTTGGATGATACCAGTCCCTTGCTCAAAGCGAACGGTCGTGTCTTGTTTGGTTTCTTTTTTTGCGCAGAGACGGGCGGCTACACTCGTGACTACCGGTCACGTCAAGAGCCCAACGTTCGTCAGCCCGAAGACACCCTTACCATCACAACCGTGCGTTTCAGAGTCTATGCAGTTCAGGGTCTGTAATATTACAGATGTTATTCACCTGATGCAGCAAGGCCATAAGCTATTGTGTAGACCGCTGTCGTAGATGCGCGGATCCGATGGCACGTCGAACAAACATTCATGATGCAGACCGTTATATTGCTCTGGTCTGTGCATACGCGCAATTCAGTAATAGCTGCTACTTCGGTGCTAAAGTTTAGGTGCCTCACTTGGATATGGCAGGCATGCAATGAGGGTGGCTGACGCCGAAGGAGTTGTCTCGGGCCAAGTTTGTATGTTTTACCCCGTCACCATTATCGTCTCTCGAACTCTCGTCCCGCCCACTCCCGCCTTCGATAATTCGGTCATTGTCGATCCTATTCTTTTTGAATACAGGAAGATGTCTGCCGAGGACCCGCGCGAAATGTCTTTGTCACCCGACCCCGACGAGTCAGGCGGTCATGAAATCGGTCTCAGCTACCCAGCATCGGACCCTTCCAGTGGTGCCTCTACTCCTGCCTATTCTCCCATAGACGTGCAGTTCCTTGATCCAGGGTCTGACGCGGATGTCGATGATCGGGCAATTCCAGTCCAGGATTCGATTTCTTACACCAGGTCTACCGGCACAGCGGCCTTTGAATGGTCATCTAAGCGGTCATCTGATGCTTCAAGTGAACTATTCTACGGAAGCTTTGCAGAGCCGCTGCCTCTCCCTGAAGCTCAAGTTCGCAGCCTCAATTTCAGTAAACCACCCGGCCACGACGTCATAAAGGCAATCATTCTTCGTCGTAGACGTGATAACGGTCCCTTTCGAATGGAGTTCGACGACGATTTCAGCGATTTCGACCCCAAGGCCACCAGATTCCAGACAATGGACGAACTTTCACGCATGTACTACAGCTTCAGACCAACCCGCAGCCCTCTTCGCGCAATCGGATCGCCTCTGTCTTATATGTATCCTATCCGAGTCGTTCTGGACGTCTCACAACAAATGAACTACATCGGAAGTGCCATCTTCCCACCGCCGATCCCAGCTAACATTCTCTCTCCATTGGACTATGTTGGCCCTAGCCGTGTTGTGCAAGGTGAAGATGGCTGGGCGTTTTTCGTTCCCAGCGAAATGACTGTCTGGAAAACCGTTCTCGAGCGGGGCGTGGACAAGCGCTACAGGCCACTCTTCCGTGAACCGACTACAGGCCAGCTCCGGGACGTTGCAACAGGTCGCCAAAGTTATGGCTGGGCGATTTATAGTGCTCGGTCAATGGTCACTTCAAATTTTGCAGTTAACTTATTTCGCCAGCTGCCCAGTCCGCTCCCGGACTTCGACGAAATTCTAGTGGAGTATCTTGGCATGTATGTGATGCGCCACATAGACAACGTAACGATGGCCCCAGAGAGCTTCCATACGATTTCGGAAGAGGATATGAACAGGATTTATTGCGACCTGTGTCCAGATCTGCCCAGGGCATCCAAACCATGGATGCAGTTCCCGTTCGTGAAGTTCTCGTACATCAAATTCGACGAGCATTTAATTGGGTGCATCGATCGAGCGGAAGCAAGATCGAATAAACTCGAGTCCTTGGCGAGACTCCAACGGGATATCGCGGATGGGGTCGTCGACAATAGTCTCAACCGGCAGGACATCACTTGGGACTGGGTCCCCGACGACAACGACCTTTTGTCTACACCCGAGTCTTATTAAATCGAGGCCAGCCTGCACCAACATCTGAAGCTGCGGAATCTCTCCGTTTCGCAAGATAGGATCACTTCTCTACATTTTCCAAGCATCCCCGACTTTTGTTTCGCTCATTCGATTGCATTGGGTAGTTGCACTTAACTGTCCTCAACGTACTACCTTCATTAATATGTGTCGTTGCATTTTTGCCGTTATTACTACTTGCAGCAATAATTTAGTGCCTGCCTTGGGGAACAGAGGGTGACCGAACCTTTTAAGTTTCAATGTTCTTAGGCCTCAGCTTAATATTAGGCAGGACGCCGTCATACGAACGCGATGCGTCAGTATTCGCGGACATAGAAACTAGAACCTCATAAATACTTCAGTAAGCACTGCAACATCGAGGTACTCAGTACGCGTTGGCACATTTCCATTCCGCATGCTTATGAAGCCCGACTCCGCTGATCAAGGATTCCTGATACTCTGCACCATGATTCCTGGTCAGGCTTCAGCGTATTACTGTAACATCCCATTACTATAGGTTTGCGCCTGTCCGTGACTGTATGGTAGTAAAAAGCGATGGGACGCAGCTATCAGATAGCGGATTGTGACCGACCATCTAGAACTTCAACGGTTCCCTGAAGAGTCAAGAAGGCTGGCAGTGGATAGGAGATATCGTAGCGGTTGTATGCAGATGGTACCTATGCGCCCCTATGTAGAGAGTGATTATGGTGCAAGGTTGAGGTAGGTATCGTAGATGGCCCGGCTCCTTGGGGATTAAAACCACCTGGAAGTCTTGTCTCGCGGAAAGCCGAACCTGAGTGTTCCACGCCTCCGCTCTCGTCTTGGATCGTATATAAGTTGACGGTAGAAGGGTGATAGTGGCGGAGACGATGTGCGATGGACTCCAGTAGCCTGCAGTTTGACTCTTCCATCAACCAGGTACAGATCATCGATCACGACCCATCCGAATCCTCTTGTTCCGGTTCCTGAATCACGATTCGCCGCGGGGCCTTCACGCCGCTTTGCTGTCCCTCCTCCGCTGATACCTTCCCTTTACCTCTCCCTCTCCTTCTTCGTTTCCGTTTTCCCTGATTGGCGGGGGCGCGGACGCCCTCTGCTTCTGCAGGGTTAGTGTTCCCATTTTTATGGCGTATGATCACATTCATGGTGGACTTGGTTCTCTTTCTGAACTCTTCCTTCGGCGTATCCGTATCCTGAACTTTCTCACCACTCTCGCTCTCACTGTCACTTAGTATCTCATCCACCACCTCCCCGGAACCCGTATACACTTCCACCTCGAGGTCATCCTGGGCAAACGGCAAGATTCCTTGCGTAGTCAAGCTCCCGACGAGAACCGCGAGATGCGGTATAGCAGCACCCATCGCAGACAGACGTATTTCACGTGCGCCGTCCTGCAAAAAAGCAGACTTACATCGCCGGATATAAGCAGCAAGCGCGGTTTTGCGCGTGACGCATAGGCATAGTGGTTCATCAGGTGAAGGACGAGTGGACGTTGAGCGTGGGCCAGTCGCAGAACGTCCAATGGGTACCGTCGGATAGGGACGGGGCGGCGCTAGTTTGAGGATACGCGGACGTTTACGTGGGGGTGCTGGGGCTGGGGCGAGTGGAGTGGGCACTGGGACGGATGGACCCGTATCAGATGCGCTGGAGGGCGAAGACGCGTTTGTTTTTGGAGCGTTGGGGATAGCCTTCCGTATCTCTTTCCCCGGCCTCTTGTCGGTAACCTCTGTCTGAGCACTTTGACTACCCGTCGCAGCAGACGATGCAGGACGCGTCATTGGGACCGGTTTTGCTACTCCCAAGTTATCCTTGACTCGTTTTACACGATTTGAGTCGTCGCTGGTCTCTGTGTCCTGTTTCCGCTTGCTCATGACACGTCCCACAGCACTTCTTACGGTGGGCGCGAGCGTGAACTCACTCCAAGTCATAAAGCGGCAGTTGTCACGTGGTTAGTGAGCCCACCCTAAAACACTCCCCACAGCGGTGCTTGTATTTGCCAGCTCGCATAAGATCGAGATCGGCAAGGTGGGGGCTGCTTTTTTTTCAACCTTCCAACTCTCATCTACAAAACACCAAACGTCAAACCAAGCAGCAAGATTTGTGAGACTGTGAAGGGCATTTTTCCCCTTTGGACGATCCGTCATGAGTCAACAAGACCTCGCAGAGCAGAATATTCAGATGTGGAAAGTCAAAAAGCTCATCAAGAGCTTGGATTCAGCAAGAGGGTATTCTCTTCTCCTTTTTTTTCGCTGTACAAGTTCGCTCATGGCACCCATCAGCGCTGGAACATCAATGATCAGCCTAATCATCCCCCCCAAGGTGAGTAAAGGTGCCCGACCGTTCGATCCCTCCTCCCGCGCACGATTGATACAGACTTACTGATCTGAATCCTGCAGGACCAGATCTCTCGCGCAGTTTCGATGTTGACGCAGGAATATGGTACTGCATCTAATATCAAGTCGCGTGTGAACAGACTTTCCGTGCTATCTGCCATCACGAGTACGCAACAGCGTCTAAAACTGTACACTCGCGTCCCACCAAATGGGCTTGTCCTCTTCGTTGGGACGATCCTCACCGATGAAGGCAAGGAAAAGAAAGTATCCTTTGATTTCGAACCTCATAAACCTATTAATACGTGCGTACGCTGTCTGATTACCTAAACTGGGATCAGATCATGGACTCTTGCCTGGATCGATACAGGTCTCTTTACTTGTGTGACAACAAGTTCCACACAGAGGCACTCTCGGAGCTCCTCGAGTCTGACCAACGCTTCGGGTTCATCGTCATGGATGGTAACGGTACTCTCTTCGGGACGCTGGCTGGCAACACGCGTGACGTGATCCATAAATTTACCGTTGACCTCCCCAAGAAACACGGTCGTGGTGGTCAGTCCGCGCTTCGTTTCTCTCGTCTCCGCGACGAAAAACGGCACAACTACGTCCGCAAGGTCGCGGAACTTGCTGTGCAACACTTCATCACGAACGACAAAGTAAACGTGTCTGGATTGGTTCTCGCTGGAAGTGCAGATTTCAAGACTGAACTGAGTCAGAGTGACATGTTTGATCCGAGATTGGGCTCCAAGATAATCAAGGTGGTGGACGTGAGCTACGGTGGTGAGAACGGCTTCAATCAAGTGCGTTCCTTTACTGGTGCCGTGGGTGAGAGCTAAACATCACCGTCAAGGCTATCGAACTGGCTGCAGAGTCACTCTCGAATGTCAAGTTTGTACAAGAAAAGAAGCTTATCCAAAGATACTTCGATGAAATTAGTCAAGACACGGGCAGGTACTGTTTCGGAGTGGACGATACGCTCAAGTGTCTTGAGCTTGGTGCTGTTGAGACATTGGTCGTATGGGAGAGCTTGGATATAACCCGCTTTATCCTTCGCAATGCTGCAGGAGGTATTTGCCTGCTTCCCATTTACTCTCTGCCCCATCTGACCGCATGCAGAGGAGATCATAATTTACCTGACGAAAGAACAAGAGAAGGAACGCGAGAGATTCCTAGACAAATCTACAGGACTGGAAATGGAAAAAGCCAGTGAACCGATATCGCTCCTTGAATGGTTCACCGAGAAATACAAAGAATTCGGTGCTACACTTGAATTTGTTACGAACCGGTCGCAAGAAGGCGCGCAGTTCGTAAAGGGCTTCGGTGGGATCGGGGGTCTCTTGAGGTACAAGGTCGATATGGCGAACTTGGCCTCTGTCGATGACGATGAGGACGAGTTCCTCTCTGATGACGAGGCTATTTGACGATTTCGTCGGCTCCAATTCGGAGCCCCGTCCTCTTCTAGTAGCACGCAGGGCGGGGCGGAGGGAAAGTGGGGAGAAAGCGGCAGATATGGGGTCGGAGGTGTTGATCAGATGCAACGCCGAGTTGGAATATCTTGCGATGAGGGATGCAGCCATCCAAGCGATGCTCTGCTAAACGGCGAGTCTCCGTCTGCATCTTCCTTGAATCTTTTTACTGATGGTCGCGTAGATGATAAGTCTGTAGAATGTGCTATGTAATTGTGTAGTCAAGTGGTATGTAGTCGGTGGGAATAGCTTATGAGTAATCGAACAAACGTGGCGCCTGTGACGTCAAAGCAACGAGACAGGGGCAGAACCATTCCACCGGCCCAGTGACAATAGAAATTCCCAGCGCTAGTAACGAAGTTACACGGGAAATCTTGATCCATTGACTTTTGCTTCTTGCCACTATCATACGCGCAGATAGATTTGTTTCTGAACCTATGGCCGGTGCGTACACAGTGACTCTAGGAACTTGAGTTACTGACATATAACCTGACAGGACGAAAGCGATCTCGAACAGACGACGCTTCTGCCACCGAGAAACGCGAAACGCGGAGCTCGAAAGTGCAAAAGACAGAGGGGGGAAGAGCATCGGGAAAAGGTGGAGCTAAGGGTGCAGCACGTCTCAAAGTGAGGGTTGCCATCTGTCCTTTTCTGCTAAGCATGCCCGCTCATTGGCTTTTGGTACTACGACCTCGAACTGTTGTATGTCATGCCACCATACATAGACTGGGCTTACTGCTTCCGCTTTCAAGTCTCGTGCCGCACCCCTTCACCTGGCACTAAGTTTCAATCCGTTCCCAGGGGAAGGTGAAACTGTGGCGGTGGGGGAGGGTGAAGAACAAGCATCCATCTTAACTACAACCACTTTAACAGCGAGTTCATTCTCAACGGGCAGTTTCGGGTGGAAGGGAAGTAAGCGGATCGCAACTCCATTGAAAGCTCCAGGAGAAGGGGGAGAAGCTGAGGAGGATACTGTCCATATTATGTTGACGTAAGGGGTCCTATGGTGCTGTGAGTTGAGAACCTCCGTCGCTAATCCGTCAAATAGGGTCAACGCCACTGTCATTGGCAGCAAGGACGTCAAGGAAAGCGCAGAAGAGGGAGAAGGGGCGAAGGAAGAGGGGGAAGGAACTAAAGAAAGCGCAGAGGAAGGGGAGGGGATTAAGGAAGGCGGTGGAGAGGACGAAGGAGCGCAAGAAGAGCAAACAAGTACCGAGGCAAAGGCAGAAGGTGCGAAAGCCGCTGCTGAACTGGGACTGCCTGCAGCAGAAGCCACAGGTAATCCGGTTACTGTTGCTCAAGCTTGATTGGCGATGGCGTCAACTGCACGCCGAACAAGTATTCGTATTCCGGTCGGATATCTTGTGAATATCGGGTATTTTATATGTAAACGTATTCTGCAATGTAGCTCTTCACCTGCTCTTTTTTTTTGAAAGTTTCCTTGTGGGTAGAATACATCTTGAACCATGTCAGCTAAATTATCGGTACAGCTACCTTGGTGCTACATGTCAAACTCAAAGTCCGAGTCCGAGTCGTTGCCTTTTGTCGTTGGCCCACGCACGTTTCTTGCTGAACGAGTATTGGTGCTCGTGGCTGCAGAGCGCATGCGAGCGGAGGGGTCGTCGTAGTCGTCGTCATCTGACTCACCGTCCTGCTCGCGGTTACGACCTCCACGCTCTGGAAGTTCGATAGCTCCGCAGAGTAGAAGAACGGCTTCTAGTTCTATGTAAAGTGTCACTGTGTGCATTGCAGGACAATCAAAAGAAACGCACCTTCTAATCGCCTTTCCCTCTCTGTTCCCCATGCAACAACCTGATTCCTGATCTCACCCTTCCGATATATGATCAACATGGGTATCCGGGAATCTGGGAGATCGGCGATGCACTTGTCGCCCACGATTGAAACGAACTTCGTGCGTGGATAACGGGTTGCGAGAGTGCGAAGGTGCTCAAAAGTGCGATCGCTCCTCGGTATGCTGTGGACAGGTTAGGATGCAATAATGTAAACTTCGCTGCGTGCTCACCCGTCCTTGTACAAGAAGCAAACGACGCCGGTCCCTCTACTCTTGTCATCACCCTCCTCGTCTATCTGGCTAGCCTCCGTGACTTCTCTCGTATAGTCATCTCTCCCAATAGGATAGACCCGTCCAAACCGCGCTCGCTTCTGATCTTTGCGCTCCTCGGCGATGCGCTGTCGCCTGAATGACTCAATAGTGCGATGGAGGTCATCATCAACAACTTCTTCCCCTAGTTCACGCAATCTATCGGGTGTGAGATCGTCAAGGACCTGTTCAAGGGGCGGCGATGGGGGTGGTGAGGGAGTTTCAGGCGTGGTTTCTCTAGGCGGTATGATACCGTGTTTGCGGAGAGCGTCGTTGCTGGAAACGGTTTTACGGATGACTTGGGAGCGTACTACCAACTACTTACAATTCTGTGTCTTCGTTTGGGTTTACTGTCATGATCGGGATCGGTGATGTCAGCGTTTGAGCGGGGCGTTGTGGCGCCACCCACGCTAACACCTAAATCACGAACATGGCACAACCCCAGGTTTTCGTTCTGGCGTGTATTGGGCACACAAAGTCCTGTGATCATGTGTGACGAGCTTCTGGTGAGCAACCGACATGTCTGACAATGTGTGCCGGCTTTACCATGTTCTATCCGGGAAATTGGAGGTCCTCAAGCGAAACTTGTTCATATGGTCAACGTATGCTCAGTTGCACGGAGGTGCGAGTACGAATCTCCAATTCCTTATCGCGCTAGCTCAGGAGCTATATTCGTCAGGACTTTATATTTATCCACGCCGTCCCATCCCAGTTTCTGCGCTCTATACCTGGATAAACATTCTTGTGTTGAGAGGACTCAGGCCCTCCACGCGGCACTATGTGGAGGTCACCCATTCATCGTTGAATGAGTTTTTCAGGTATGAGGTCGTCCCCGTTGGAGACGACCTTCCCTGCGCTTCAGATGCACCCTTGCGCCCAGGTGATTTGGACATATTCCCTGGTATGCAATCGACAATCGTCGCTCTTTGCGGTATGACTGTGGCTGATATTTTCTGCACCGTAGGGAAAGCCTGTCCGAAACCTTTTGAATTTGAATTCTTAAAGTTATCCTTTTTTGATGAAGAACAAATCTACATGGGAGACCCAGATGCGCGTTTGGTATGTATGATATGTTAAATTGGCATGCTGTCCTGACCAGCCTACATAGAAAAACGACATTTCTGCCAACTTTGTCGAAGACTTCGTATCTTGAGATCGTGGTCGCTGTGTGGTCACAGGTGCGGGTACCAACAATGGCCCGCTCATTGTAACTTGGATTCACCCTCCTATAATCGAATCAAAGGTGGTGGTTCCTTGTCTTGACGCTCTGCCTCGTGTGTTGACACCAACTTTCGTCCGATAGTTACGGCCTTGAGACGGACCAAAAGTTGGGTGAAGACCTATTCTAACTAAATCGAATGAGCTTACTTTACGGGAAGACGTTTGCAGAGTTGTTCAAGCGGAACCTCTTCGGCATTGATGTTGATGTGATTTCCTTCATCTTCTTCATCCTTGTTTTGATCCGAATATTTCTACACTTAAGGGTTATCGTATTGTTTTTTTTTTTTTTTTTTTTTTTTTTTTTTTTTCCATCTCATACGACGATTATGCCCCATTGGAACCCCATTCCGTATCCCGATATTTTTTCTGATGATCTACTGCGGCCTAGTGACGAGTTCTTGCGTGTCCACTTTCAGCGATGCTTGTGATGTCATTTTCCTGGTGATGATGTTCATGGCGATTTTTGGGATTATGACGTGGACTATTCTTGTGACGAGGTGGGTGTCTTTGATCATGTCGTCGATCCCAACGACCCCAAATGGCAGACCCCGTTTGATAAGGAGGTCTGGGAGGTGCTGATCCGCCAAGGGTGCCTGCGAAGGTGAGAGTTCCTGGATTCATTTGTTTTGTGCCGTCATGCTCTTCTTTCCGGACATCGATGCGACGCGGCAACTCAGACGAGCGACATCAAATGGGCTGGTTGTGTTGGGCTTGTGATGTACATTAGACATTCCCCTGATCCAAAATGTACCAGTAATTCTTTGCTTTCTTACCGGTTACTAGTTGAAGTAACCGGTAAGTACGATAGCCGGATCATCGCGCAGTGATGTCACTCCACTCCGGTCACACGGTGTGACGGCGGGAGTAGTCCGTAATGTGCACATGCGCTGTTCTCCCATCTGACCACCTCCGTCTGTCGTAGCATCCAAGCTGGTTAGCAAGTGGACCGTCGTCGTAATTATCATCCGTGTTGAACTTGTTCCCCTCAGGCTTGCTCAACACAGATGATCATCACGAAGACGATCAAGTCGCCAACCATCTTGGCTAAATCTCATTCGCTTCCTGGAGTCCCTCATTCCCAAGTCATATTATCGCAGTCCAAGTCTCAGAAACCACAGAAACCACATCAGCCTGCTACGGATGTCACGACGACGGCGACGACGACGACGACGACGCCCATGGAGGTGTTTATGCCCCGAAAATATCAGGAAGAAATCTTCACCCGTGCTCAGTCTAGCAACATCATCGCTGCACTTGACACCGGGAGTGGAAAGACCTACATATCCGTTTTACTCATCAAATGGATAGTCCTTCAGCCTTATGCCCGAGGAAAGGTCGTCGTGTTTCTGGTCCCCAAGGTTGCCCTCGTCGAGCAACAAGCTTCATTTATCTCTAGTCAGACCCCACTGCGGGTTCGCAAGTTTCACGGTAGACTCGATTTAGAGCTATCAGATAGGGCAAATTGGAAGGCGGCATTCGAGGGCGCAGACGTAGTAGTTATGACAGGTAAGTACTAAGTTTCCGAATTCGGACCCGTCCGGGGCCTTTCACCTTCGTGATGGGCATGTGTTGATGCGATGACGCATTTAGCTCAGATATTTCTGAACGTATTGACGCATTCCCACTGGAGTATAGATAAGGTATGTCTTTGCCATATCGTGTCAGCGTTTCATTGTTTCTCTTATCACATATGATCAGGTTTCGCTCATAATATTTGACGAGTGCCATCACACAAGGAAAAATCATGCATATAATGGCATCATGCGCGAATACTTCCAAGTTGATCCCGCCGAGAGACCCAAGATATTTGGCATGACTGCGTCACCGATATGGAACCCTAAGGATGCCGAAGGGTCACTTCAAACGCTAGAGAGAAACTTGGATGCCACAGTCATTGCCGTCCGGGAACACGTGTCTGAGTTACTAGAAAACTCCCCGCGGCCGGTCGAGGTGTGTGGTCCAGAGTGTGTGACTCTAATGGCACTGACAATACAACTTGTACTTGCAGCTCATTAAAGAGTACTACCCTCCCCCCGACCACTATTTGTATTTAAATCCCAACCTGTGGGACACTCTTAACTATTTCCGCTCTGACGATGTGGACATTCCCTGGGACAAGCTTCTTATGAAGTACCATGTCACGCGCAACAGCCTGGGCCCCTACTGTGCCGACCTGTTCATATATCACGACCTTCGCCCACGTATAAGCCAGATTTTGTATCAAATTGAGACTTCGTGGAAAGAACAGCTAGGCGATCCACTCTCCTTGTATGATGATGAAAACTATGGCTTTGCACCAATGGATGTCGACGGTGCGGTAAACATGCCCAAACCTCCCGTTCCGGTTGACCTTGAACAAATCGATGCAATTTTAACCGACTTTCAACCCTGGTTCGATTCTTCCCCGCCCTCACATTCATCCTCGCTCTCGCGTTCATCGTCATCCTCGCCCATCCCCACTTCCACCATTGTGTCTTCTACTCCCATGGCCCCCAGCTCTCACCAATTACCAACAGCTCAGTCTACTGTACCCGTAACGGTTCCCCTTGCTTGGTGCTCACCGAAGGTGAAAGCCCTCACGGAGGTGCTTCTCGAGTACCATACGTCCGCGTTCCATGGTATTGTCTTTGTCGAGCAACGCCAAGTTGCAGCTTGCCTTGCCAAGATCCTAGGAAATGTGCCAGAATTGCGAGGGAAGATTCGCTGTGCCGAATTGGTGGGTCACGGTGGTGGCCATGGCAGTGGAAGACAGAATGGTGGGAGCGGGGGTGGCAGAGGAAAGGCAGCGGTTTCGGTACGAGCGGATGTGAAGGGTATGGGACTGGCGAGACAGCAAGATACAGTGAGAATGTTTAGAGAGGGGGAACTCAACCTTCGTGTGTTTTTCTCTGTATTGTTGTCAATGGTTTGACTTACGTGCCTCAGTTATCGCTACGTCTGTCGCGGAAGAGGGTCTTGATTTCCCAGTAGGTCTCGGCATGATTTTAGTTGTGCGTTGCTGAATTTTGGTCAGGCCTGTGACCTCGTAATTCGCTTCGATCCGCTTCATCATATGGTGGGGTATGTCCAGTCGCGCGGACGTGCCCGCACCAAATCTTCTAGTTTCGTTATCATGGTCCAAGCCGGGCACACGGCGCACCTGAGTCGTTACACCATGTTCCAGTCCTCTGAGCCGGAGCTTAAGCGTGTCTACCAGACGCGCGAGGGCCCCACGCGGCCCACTTCCCCTGGCATGTCCTCCGATTCTGAAGAGGGCGAGCTGGAGGAAGACGACCCCGAAGACCTTGCAGTCCGCGAGCGTTACATCGTTCCATCCACTGGAGCAGTGCTCACGTACGGGAGTGCGATAGGCCTCATTAACTACCTTTGCTCTTTGATCCCACATGACGCCTACACACCGCCACCAACGCCCAAGTACTCAGGCGACTACGCGGCTGTGCTGGAACTTCCCGCGAGCCTTCCGCTACCTATCGACAAGTTGGTCTACCGCGGACCACCGAGACACTCGAAGCGGGAGGCGAAGCGTGCTGTAGCCTTCTTGGCTGTCAAGACATTGCACAAGCTGGACGTTTTTGATGATTATTTGCTGCCGATCACGGGGTCGAAGGGACGGAGTGAGCACGATGCAGACGGACGGAGGCTGGTGGACGTGTCAAGTATTCCGGAGGTTTTGGATGTTCAAGTGCGAGATCCGTGGACGCTGGGACCGCGTCTACGCATGCATGTCATCACGATCGATGGCATTGACTCTGCAGGACTGGTGACAGGCACGGAGTTGCCAGCGCTCGAACTGATGAGTGAAGGTCAAACAATTTCGTTGCGATGCACGGATGAGCTTGTTTTCGATGCGGACGAAGAGTTGGAGAAATTACGCATGCTTGAAGACTATACCAAAGCCGGGCTCTGGTTTTGTGTCACAGGTCGTCCTATCACATTGCCGATAACTTGCTTCGTTGTTCCACTCACAGAACATAATTGTATTGACTTCGAAGCTATGCAGCGCGTCATCGATGAACCCTATGGCACGTATGACTGGACGAGTGTCACCGAGGCTGACTATGACCGTCTGATGGTGATGAACTGTAACCAGTACGGTCGAGCTTTGATATTGCACAACATCCGAAAAGATCTCACTGCACGTTCTGTTCCTCCTCCCGGTTCGCGCGAAGCGACACATGCAACTTATGAGGACTATTTTATGGAGCGTTGGACGCGCAAGACACGCGAAGCATTCGTCCCCACTGACTGTCCCCTGATCGAGGTCCGTAGTGTCCCACGACGTCCGTCGGGTTTATACCGTCCCATGGGTCGACTGCTGGATGTAGATGCTTTCAGGACGCAGACTGCGCCTATTGGCTCTATCGTTCCCCAAGGCGCATGTAGACGGATGCATCTCTCGGAAAGTGTGTATCGGGCGTTTCTCTTCCTTCCGCGCATATGTAGGCGTGCAACGGATCTCTACCGTGCCCGCGAGGCTCGCTTCCAACTTGGCCTGCCCCCCATCACCGACGATCTCCTCATTGAAGGCACCGCCCTGCCAACGACGAATGCGAAATGGAACAATCAGCGTCTGGAAACGTTGGGCGATTCGGTACTGAAGCTTGTTACTACGGTGCATGTCATGAACAAGTATCCGCACCGCCACGAAGGACAGCTCTCGCAATTGCGACAGAGCAGCGTATCTAACAGGACCCTCCTGGCGCGTGCCACAGAGATTGGCCTTGAGCGGTTCCTGACTTCAGAGGGACACAACGTACATATATGGCGATACACGATCCCCGAAGGAGAGGACATGTTGACGCACATGTTGAATTCGTGCCATGCCGTGCAGAGGTCCTTCGCCCGACGTAGTTTACAAGACTGTATGGAGGCTACCCTCGGTGCTGCGTTTTTGACGGGGGGGATTGAGATGGCCTTGCGTGCGGGTGATGCCCTTGGGGTGTCGATAGGTAACGTGATCCCGTGGGGTTTAAGGTTCTCGCGTCCACCGGAATCGTCACCTGTGCCACCTCTCTTCTCGGAACTGCAGGTTGTGATGGGATACGAATTCCACAGGGGTGAGCTCCTCGTTGAGGCGGTTACGCACCCATCCTTTGCTACGTCCTCTGGAGCGTCATATCAGCGCATGGAATTCCTCGGAGATGGTGAGTCCAGGGCCATATTTTCCGGACCTAGTCCTTACGAGTTGTCGCAAACGTAGCTGTGATTGACCTTGTGGTGATGCGCCACCTATTTCAAAAGTTTCCGGAGGCAACATCCGGCCAATTATCTGCTGCGAGATCTCGTGCTGTCTGTGGCCCTACGCTGGCGTCCATCGCAGTTAAACGTCTCGGGCTGCACAAGCATTTGCTAATTAACAATGCTGAACTTAGCACAGCGATCAACCGACATGTGCCACTTCTCGAGACGCTTATGCCAGAGGACGTAATCGTGAAAGGATGGAAGTACGACCCGCCGAAGGCGCTAAGCGATGTGCTGGAAAGTTTGATTGGCGCAGTGCTGATTGACAGTGCTTATAACTTTGAGCGGACGGCTGCAGTTGTCGAGGTGGTGATGAGCGACATATTAGACGTGCTTACCACGAATCTCCCCCGTGACCCTGTTTCAGAGCTCATGGTGTGGGCTGCCACTGCAGGGTGTAAACGGATTGCCTTCCAGTAAGTGTTATGATTCTGACTCTGAACTTCCTTATCTGACGTTCTATCCTTACATTACAGGAAAAGTCAAAGCAATATGGAGTTGCGACGTAATGATAGTATCTCCGTGGTCGTGCATGACGTTGTGGTGGTCGGACCCGTCACTGCTACCAATCTCTCGCTTTCGAAAGGACTCGCCGCAGAACGTGCACGTAACTTGCTGAGCGACCCCAATTTCGAGATGAATCTTGCTCGCCTGTGTGATTGCGTCAAGGCAATTCCGGAACGACCTAGTCAGGCTGAAGATCCCATGGAGTCGGCCGTTGAGGAAACGCCGTCCAGCCTCTCAGATGAGACCGAAGAAGGTTTCGCAACTCTAGCTAAACGAAAGTTAGATGAGAACTACGCTCCAAGTGAGAGCGAGGACGTTGACGTCGACGATGCCGAGGATGCCGAAGACGCGGATGAAGCAGGAAGCAGACGGGGGGAGGATGCGATGGAAGAATGACGAGTTACTATGTATTGAATGGACGTGCCGTAGGGAACTGAAGTCCCGGGGCTTGAAGATGGTGGTGCCACTGTTGGCAGTCTTGTACATCGTCGTGAAACATTGTCGACGGCCACTTCCAACGATTATTTGCCTGCTCTTGCACACGATGATACCGTGTTGTTATATGTAATTTGTTTGTGATATCATGTTATACATCGAACACAATAGTTCCGAGAGTCTAGGACAAGGGTCAGGAAGGACCCAACGGATGACTTTTGCGACCCAATTTGTCCAATTACAGTGGGTAGTAGGTAGTGCTAATCCACTATAAAGTTATAGCACCAGCCTTCTTTCGCCGCCCTGTGCCAAGTACATGCCGCAACAAGCAAATAAGAAAGTGTACATCAAACAGCTTTGCAGCGTCAGAACCTCCAGGCAGAGTTGTAGTGTGGATGCCCTCCAGCTGTGGGGCTGCGCCTCGTTCAAAACGACAAGTTCTGAAGGTCCCTCCCTTTTATGTAATCACGTGCTGATCAGCGATGTTGACGACTGTGGCATTTAAACTCACTGACCTTGGTCCAAATCCCAAACTGGTAATCGTCATACAGCCTGTGGATGTCTGCACGAAGAAGGAATGCGTTGTACGGCGCATTTGCTTTGTCACCATGAACTAGATCCCTGACTCCAGGAGGGAGGCGCCCAAGTTGCTTATGTAATTTACAAATTTGGACTGAAATTAGTACTAGTAGTAGTTGAATTGATACTCTTACCTCGTTACTCGCACCAGCAAGCGACAAAGGGAAAATATGGGCAACTTCGAGGCCGATGAAATTGTCTCCACGGGTACGGCGTGTACTGGGGTGTTGTGTAATGCAGCAGTTTTGATCTCGTCGGCAGACTGCATTGCACAAAGCAGCATTCTGCAAAACATAATCAGGACTAGTGCCAATGATTAGGCCCTATGATATACATACACGAGTTACTGAGCCATGGGGTGTATGATCACCTGCGGCACCACTGCTTCTGATCGTCCGTCTGTGTTCCCAGTGATTTGTTAAAATAGGGTAAGCTTCAACTAATTCGGGAGGACCATTTCAGAAACCTCCTCTGGCAGCTGGTGCAATGATGAAGTATAAGCAAGGGTCAATCAGAAATGAGGAGATGTATGCACTTTTCGGTCTTGTCAGCATGTAGTGACCGGCCTCCAAGATATTAGAGGAACTGCTAGGTATGGGTTTGTATGGAAAGCCAGAGCATCATGCTCCCCTGGATTTCAGACTTTGGTGAATTGCATTCTGCATTTGGGGGTTTGGCATTTGAGGACCTCAAATACTGTGAATTACATATTTGACTTCGATAAATTACACTTCAGACTTGGGAGTTTTGTGTTTTGGACTTAGGAGTTTTATGTTTTGGGCTTGGGAGTTTTGCAGATTGTACTTGGGGGTTCTGCAAATTGTACTTGGGAGTTTTGCAGATCATACTTGGGAGTTTTGTGCATTGTACTTGGGAGTTTTGCACATCATTCTAGGTAGCTCCATGTACTGTCCTTCACATTTCATATTGACTATGTATTATGAAGAACAACTAAGAACAACAATCACAATATTGTTTATCTACCAGTCAGTGTCAGAGTCATTCTGCCCCTTGTCATCTGAAAAAGCCATTAAAACAACAGCTGCCTCTTCATTGACATCATCCAAAACAGGGTCATCATTGTCCAGTTCATTGAGTTGCTGCACATGCTCATTGCCTGAGACAGCTACATTAGTACCACATATACAGTTGACAACATGACTTACCAAGACCTAATCCACCCCACACACTGCCCATGTAATAATCACCATCTTCATTGAAGAGAAGTGCCTGGCCTTCACAAAGTGGAAATGAATCATCATCATAATCCTTGGCTGCAGGACAAATGCTATGTAAGTTGAGCATGGCAAGGGCATCTGCATGTTGCCAGATATATAGCCCACATGTTCTGGTGAGTAACTGATGGATGGCCCATGTCCACATAGAAGCTCTCTATGTGGACACTGAATGCAGGAGGGACTAAGTCAATGACCAGATGAGTTGGTGTGATATAGAGCTTCTAGACATGTTCAATGGCTACTGGGTCTACTTGTACCTATCATTCATGGTGAACATACAATATCAAATATGAAGAAGATGAAGTTTGACACTCACCTTGAAATCTATTGCACCATAGTCACCTGCAGACTTGTAAATAAGATTTGGAATGCCATGCAGCATAACCTTGAGATTGGTCCATGAGTCTATGAAACATATACATCACTGACAGTTGCTCACCTTGTTATGGTTGTGATGTTTTGCTGTATTATTTACATGGTCCTTGCAGGCCAGCAATTCTTCTTGAAGCCATGGGATGAATAGCCAATGAAAGATGAGCTTAGTCCAACACTGTCAGCTGAACACTACACAGTGAAATATATAGATACCATCCAAGCATGTTATCAATGTCATACCAGCCCCCTTTTACACCCTGTTCTAAAATAACCTCAAATCTGGGGGTAAACTGATGCTGAAGCTGCAACCACATGATTTCAGGTGTAATATTTTTCTTGTGTAGCATCCATCTGTGTTGAAGTGTGCTGATGAGCTTTGCATCATGCCACTGTTGAAGCATGGACTGAGCATTTGCAATGCCAAAATTTTCAGTGCCAGGATCACTTTGAGTTACTAATGGAATATTTATGAGGATCATGGAAATTAGTACTCAGTGCCAGAAAGAAGATAACTTATGGCTGGGTTCTTTGACATCATCTAGGAAATATGTTAAGATCAGCTGTGGGTTATGGTTTGAGTGCCAGACACAGATCCATAATATTTTCCCAGAAAATGGTTCAACAGCAGTATGTAGCACAAGTCCAAAGTGAAGCCACTTGTTGTGTTGGTCCACAGCCCAAATATCATTAACACCAGCAGCCCAGAAATAACAATGTCTCAGGCAGCAAGTCTTGCACTGCTGAATGAGTTCAGGTTCATATGTAAGAAAGCAATCATGAATAACACTCCTGTTCATTTTCTCAGATATCAGGTGTATGAAGGGTCAGACTAGTGACAATGATCATTCCTTGCAACAGACATCTGCTTTTTGTGAAAAAGTAGGCTGATCATCTCACATGTTCCAGTGTTTGGATAGGTCTGTCATAGTTCCACCATAGCCTCCTGGATAGATTCTGGCAAGTGGTCTTGCTGACATGTGCCATACAAGCCAAGTCTCATGCAGATTGCTCTCAGCTTTGTTAGCCTAAGATGTATTTTGTCAGCATTAAAACATGCTTGAGATCAAATAAATGTACTGACCTGATGCCATACTGGTTAGTGTCAATATGCTTGTGCACCTCCTGCAAAATTTCCTTGTCTGTACAGCAAGCTTTCCACATGTGGTGGATGTGTGGTTTGATCTGCTCAAGGGGTGCTGTGTAAGCAGCTGTGTCAGTCAAGACAGAGCTGGTGAGCTGGATATGTATGCAGAGGTTTCCACTGATTTGGCATTCCAGTTGAGCATGTGGTGACTGAGATCTTGGAGGAGGAGGAGAGGAAGACAATTGTTCTAATACTTCTGACACAGTCCTGCTTAAAAGTGCTCTGAGGCTTCACAAGTTCATGCCAGTTTGTTGCAACTAACATGGTAACTACTGTTGGGCTTTGTTGCACCACTCATGATGGCATGTCAACCATGAATTATTGCAATATTATTGCAATAAAAGTAGTATAGATGTTGCAATGGGTGCTGCAATGCATTGCAACAAAAGTAGTACTATATGAAATAAAGCCTTAAAACGGAAAGTGACTCTCACGACTCGGACTTGCCAAATCTAACACCTATGGCACTATGGCACCGCACACAATACACAAGGTGCTGCAACACATTGCAATGGGTGTTGCAACATGTGTAGTATAGATGGCAATAAGATTAGTATAATAATCCAACAGCAACACTACCCTATGGCACTATGGCACTGTGTGCAATACACAGATACTCATGGTCACAGTCAATTCATGGTTACAAAGCAGTAAGATAGAAACTAAGATGTTTCTGAGCATAGGAGAGGGTGATACACTATAAGCATTGGCAACATCCAAGAAACACTGTGTGTCCTTCCACATATCAGCAAATGACCTTGTGAGCTGATGCTGAAGTTCTGCCTGATGCTCAGCATATGCATGACACCCATTGGAGAGAGCTTTGTCACCTGTTGCAATGGCACTAGCACAGCCCATCCACCAATTTGCATGCCACTCAAGAAACTGTAATGTATGTTGCTTTTCTTCAAATAGTAGCCTAACCTCCTCTTCCCAGTGGTGTGTGCATGCATGTGCTTTGCACCACTCCACATGGATGGCTAATATGGAGTTAAGATTAGCACTAAAGTGAGGTTGATGAGGCTGCTAGAAGATGCTTACCCTCTTGAAAACTGTCATCTGATTCCTTCTCTGTGGCATGATCACTGTACCTGTATAACCACCAAATCCAAGAAACATGGTGCCATCCCTCTCCAGGCTGGAGGTCATAAGCATCTGTGAGTGCACTAATGTCCTTGTCTGCAAGTGGGCGAAGCTTGTCCCTCCACCCAACTTGTCCAACCAGGGGGCAAGAATGGTTAATGCTTGATATGCTACACAATACCTTGTAGCAGCAGTATTTATCTTGGTATATAGGGCTTTGAGACAATTTCATGTGTGGGTGTTGGCTCCTTGACCACATAAAAAATGATCCTTGAATTTGAGCATGTATGCATGAGATCGAAGACCCTGGTGCAGATCATTCAATGCATCATGCACTTGACCCTCCCTGAGTTGAAGTTCAATCATTGCCAATTTCGGTGGACATGTGACTTTGCCACTAACTTGTGATGGGAGGAACAACAGGATGTCCTCCAGGGAATGAGGTCAACTGGCAAACTCTGGCCACTCATCCTGGAGGGCACTTACACTAGCAATAAACAGGACTTGAAGTTTTTGCCATGCCTCAATTTGCCTCACCAGTGCATTGCTTCATTGTTGAACCCTGAGTTTGTGCATATCTGTGACACACAATGCCAGCTCAGTGGCATCACACAGATGTTGTCTATGTTGCAGGAGTTAGATCAACAGATGTCCCACAGAGGGTGACTTACTGCTGATCCTCTAGGTCAATCCCAGCACCAATGAGAATGCTCGGGGTTACATCTGGATGTAGTAGGAGCTCACTCCCTCCTACAAGTGCATCAGCCTCATCCTTTGCCAATTGTAAGCAGATACTAGCTTGTGTGATACCTGTGAAGGTACAGTATAGATGAATTGAAGGGAAACAAAAATTTGTTCAAGACTGTACATACTGTCATTCTTGACTTCAAATGGATTAGGCTTGGTTGAGTCGGCTTCCCAGTCCTCTACCTGCTGCTTCCATAGAGTGAGTTGCTCAGGAAACTTGAGCTTGAGTGACCATGTTAATTCTTCAAAGTCACGTTGATGATCATTGCACTCAGGGATGGCCTCCTTTACCTTCCTAAGAAGAGAAGCACCTATGATGAACGGGAGGTAAATCAGTCCTCATTGAATCATCAGAAATGGTAGTGAACCCAGTCCAATAAGCTTTTTCCAGTTCCAGTCACCAAAGTAGTCATCCAGTGTGTCTTGACAATGACCAGGGCCCATGGTCTTCATGCTTGAAGCAGCAGGGTTAAGGTTTGCCCATCCATGCTCAGGTTCTTCGCCATCTGTCTGACCAACACCCTTGGTCCAATTGAAGGAGAAGGACCATTGGCATGAGGCGATGTGGGCAGGAAGGTGAAACTTGGGTATGAGAAATGTAACAGCCTGGTCACATAAGTTTGACTGTAAAGAAGGTGGCATCTGGTCCATCTGCTGATATAACTTCTTGTGCCACTGGCAGGCAATGTTGTACAAAACTTTGAGGACAGTCACATCTGAGTGGTGTAGTGCAGATGCAAATGCATAGTCCATATTCACATATCTGTATGTTTTACACTCATGAAATGATATCACATTGGATGTAAATGATACACACCTTTCACCATATTGTAGGTCAACTATCCCATTTGGGAGCCTCATGCCATGCCTGGCACAAACAACCATGCCAATGCCAGTCGCATTGTGTGATTTGAGCATGTGCTTTTCTGGATTAAAATAAATGTTTGCAAGTGCATTCAGTGGACAACTGCATACCTCTTGGATATCATGCCGGTGGTCACTTAAGTATCTCTTGGAATGGTGTTCTCCACAAAATACACCCAGCCCTGACTGAGGCTCAGATTGTTCTCATTATTTGAGACTGCATGATGTCTGAGGCAAAAGTTGGCATCAAGAGTGACAAAAAGTGCATCAACATCTCTACATAACAATTTAGTTGAATATTGGAGTTAAGATATAGCTAACCTTTCTGGTGACCCCATCATGTTCTTCCTGGGTTGAGGGCACACTGGACATAACACTGCACATTCACCTTCTTTTGTATTCAAAACACCAGCAGGATCATGTCCTTGTCCTGAATGTTTGAACATCTTGAGGTGGTGCCATTGATGGACCATTCTCAAAAACTGTTTGTAACGAGCCTGACACAACTGAGCACAAACTTTACAACATGAACTGCAATGCACCGTAGGTGGATTTAATCCAGTATTATCTGAATGATGTGACAAGGTGCTGTGAGTCAAAGTGTGGTTCAGTGGTGAAAACCAACCAAAACCAACACAAAAGACAAAAAGAGTGAGTGGTGGTGTGCCTATGTGGTACCTAGATGGTAGAACCTGTTCTTTGGGAGGGTTTTTGCAAGCTACAACACTCAAAGATGAGTGCTGAGGGTTGGGGGTGCTCCTGATGAAGAAGAAGCAGGAATGTGAGAGAATGCAATAGGGTAGACTGCTGTCAGCCTACAGAAGGATGGATGATGACTTAATTCGATGTCCTAAGCTGCACTGAGCTCAGGGAGGGCTTGGAGTGAAGTATATTGATGATAGACAAGGATAAGCAAAGTAGACGATAGTTAGACCCTTAATAAAGTCTCAACTATCAAAGCTGCTGAATGAATTACTGAGTGATGATAAAATGCATGCAAGAGGGGCTCTCTGACATCTTTTTTTTTGCTATCTAAGTACAGTGATTTATATACAGTACAGGGGTGTTGCCCTTGGACAACAAGGTGCAAACACTTGGTAAGTGATTGGTAACTGATGAGTAAGGAATGTAAGCGACAGGTAATCATCTTGGAAAGCATTGGTAAGCATTGGTAAGGATTAGCAAGCCAAAAAGTCAAGAATCAGTAAGCAAAGTCAAAAGATTGGTAAGTATTGGCAATAGGTGAGTCAAAGACAGTCAGAATGTCAAAGTATGAGTCAAGTGATGTCAGGAACTGAGAAAGCACACTGGAATCACATTAGGGGGAGGCTGTGCATGTCACATCTCAAAGAGATTGCTTCTAGGCCAAGGTGGGATGACAGAGAGGCAGCACTGATCTGATACTGATATAGTACATCCAAAAGTGGACAGGGTGAGTCAGATGTCAACAGGGGTCAAGCTTTGGGGGTCTGTGGGGTGACAGGAGCATAGGGGATTGCAACTTTCCCCCCCAAACCATCCTCTCCATGAAGAAAATAAAAACTTCATGAATGAGGCTCTGTTGGAAGAGAGGATGAAGGGAGGGTGTCTTCTGCTGTATCTTGCAACAAGGAGGCAAGATGTGCATCATACTTGTCATGGATGTGATCAGGGAGAGTGGAGAACAGTAGATTATACTGTAGCTGTCACAATCTTGGAAGAATGATGGACGAGACTGGTATGAAGACATTGCAGGGAGCAGGGAGGAAGGATCCATACACTTCTTGGACTGGAGAGACTGAAATGACCACATAAGACCTTTCTAAGTGAATGACAGACCTGAGGCGACCAAAGAACATCCTCCTAGAGGTCATACTGACAAAAAGAACATGCTGTCCAAGCTGGATGGGCTGAGAGGGCACAGACAAGGGTGGGATGTACCAGGATGCTTCAGGATGGAAGCTGGTAGGAACTCCTGGTAGATATATGTAGCCATGGTCCCTAGCAAAGGGGACAAGTGAAATGATTGATGTAGAGGTGGCCATATCAGAAGAACTTAGTGAAATGAGTGTCTTTTGGAGGGAGTGCTGTAGAAATGTGTGGAGTGTGCAAATCCTTTCCAATTCTGGAAGGTAAGATTGCATGGCTGAGCACTACAAGTGAGTGTGGGAATGGTCTCTGTATCTGCAGAAATGGCAGAGATATGTTGAAAACTGGAATGCTGTACACGGGCACTTAAGAATTTTAGCCAGCACTTAAATTGCTCCCTTTCTTTTTCTCTGGCACTGATGACTTGTTCTTGTGCGAGGGATGACTGCCAACATTCCTGGCTGTCCTTCTTCACATGAGGGCTATGGTCTTCATCTCCATTCATCAGCTGTATCCATGTCCACCTCACCAAACACCTTTGGTGTGTGACAGCACTGTAAAACTCGTAACAAGAAAGCTTGGATTCTAATGACAGGAGATGAAAGTCTTCCAGGACTCAGAACATTGCTGCAGTGTGGGGCTTATTGGAAGGTGCAGGGAGCCAGTGAATGCACAGCAATTGTTGTGTATATGAATCTGTGGTCTCACACCCACAGAAGGTAAGGCTGACAATGTGAATCCTGTTCCTGTGCATAACAACAAACTCATCTTTCAGGAAAGACCAGGGCCTGCAGCACCTTTTGCCAATAGGATGGCCCAACTGCATGATCAAGCCCAACTCCTTCAATGTTTTGCTTGTGAAGTATCTGCCATTCCACTCCTGTCAATAGTATAAGTACAATACTCTTCTGAGTGTATTACCACTTCCCTCACATGGTGCAATGGGTGATCTCCATGACAAGTCACTGCACATTCTTGGCAGTACATGTCAACTCTAAGGCAATTGTCACAGCAGAAGTGAGCGAGTCAAAGCTTGCAGTCAGGACAGATACTGGAAACACCACATCTACCTTCCAGCCTGAGTAGCTCTGATAAGTAGTCTTCACAATCTAATTTTGACCATGTGAGGAGCAGTAAGTCCTAATCAATACATCAGCCAAGTTGCATCCAATCTCACAAAAAGTTCACTTACAGATTCTGTTGTCTGTCTGGGCTCTGTACCCAAAATTCCAAGGTTGACACCAGACAGCAGTCTGTCCATACACTCAGGGATCTCTAGGCAATGGTATGCAACCCCAGGCTGCACAGCAGTAGGTTTGGGGACAGGGTTGGGAGTGGTGAATATGTGGGTAGTCAAATGGAGTGCACCATGCATGTCCAACTGAATCTTGGTGTGGAAATGGGTAGATGCAGATTCCATCTCCTCAGCCTTTCATTTATGAATGGTAAAGCCAGGAATTTTTTGGAAACAGAATGGGCCCATAGGAGGTTGGGGCAGGGATGGCCCATTGCTGACATGCAATTCTTGCTGCATGAAAGTGACCTGTTGATAATGGTCAGTATGTAAGTACAGTGCAGGAGGGGCATAAACATACTGTCGACAAAAGTGAAAGTGTGTATGTTTCATCTCCTCAGCCTTTTGCTTGTGAAAAAAGATGAGGATCTATGAATTTTCAATACCACTGAATCTCTCACCAAAATGATCAAATGAATAGCTGTATATATCAGTGGTGAATCTGAGTGCCACATTCCAAGAGCTTTTGAATGCTGGGGTAATGGCGATCAACAAAGCCAACTGAAACAACTGCAGATTATTCATGTCACATTGTATATGGTCCTTCATATATATGTTGATAGGTTGAAACTTGGGAGCCATGCATTTACAACACACCAAATACAACTTATGTAATCAAAGAAGTGGGTAGATCTATTAACCCTTTAGGTAGTTCAAGCACTCCCCCTAGTCCATTTCACTGCCACAGGTGAGGGAGAGCTGTTGACACCCCTTTTGCAAGTTTTGGGCTGTAAATTTAAGGCCATAAGCAAGATGCTCATTACATAATGGAATGGAATGCTCACTGATGACACCTCCTTCTTGGTAACATCCCAGATGACATTGGATGCCACCAGAACCTTAGTATCAGTTGGAGAATCACTGTCATTGGAGTCATCGATAAGAATCTGAAATGTCTTGAGAGGGGTAAGTCAGTCATCTCATGCTCATGTGAACATCATTACACATACCATTATGGCTGGTTCCTCGTGCATATATGAAATAGAGAAACTGTGGAGTCCCATTTCATTCAGCAATATCAGCTTGATGCACATATGCAGCATGATAAACAGTGACTTGATACCAGTAACAAAGGACGAGTAGGAAAGGGGGGTTGAAAGCAAGCTGAATGCACAACTGCTGTAATAAATACCTGACCTATAGTAACATGCTTTTCATCTAGCCTCGGATTTAAAGTTGAAGGAACATACATGTTGATCTTCAGGGTTAATCTTGACAATGGCAATGTGACAGGTGGTTGGACATCCTTGGGGTTTGCAGTATGTTGATCTTCAGGATTAAAGTTAAAACTTATAAGGCAAAATCCTGGTGAAATGGCAGGTGATTGGACATCATTGATTCATCCTCAGGGTTTTTCAGTGATGCTTCTTTCCTAATCACTCACCTCTGAAGAAGTTTGTGTAACATGGAGCACAAGCATTCCCTAGACTGCAGACTGTAGACTTTGGCGATGGTGAATTGCACATTGCACTTAGCATTTGGCACCTGAGGTTATGTGATCTGAGGACTAATTGAAGCCTGGAGATGGTGCTTAGATAGTGGACTGGTTATAAAATGAGAGAGCATGAGACTAGAATCACCTGCTGTGCACTACAATGTCTTGGTAGGTGGGACCAAACCTGGCATTTACCATGGGTGGTGAGTCAGACTCTTCAACTGACTAATGCATTCAGATAATGATGGAAAACCATGTCGTTATAGTCCATATATCCTTTGTGGGAGGTTGTCACCTCCACTCCCCATCACTGTTGAGTGTACTTCCATGGACAAGGCAAAACTTGTCATGCAAACATTGGATAGTGTCTTACAACCAATACTACCTGAACCGACCACCCATGACTTGGTCACCTTCCTCAACAAGTCACCAGCAGTTCAAGACCTCCTCAAAGACACAGGTGATAGTTTCTACACAGTTGTTGTCAGAAACCCCCCCAGTGTTCATCACACTGAGTAAGTGTCTCATACTACAAATTCTCCCCAACTAATCACAATCCTATACTAGAGAGGAGCCACTTGTGTGGGGAGCTCATTTCATTGGGCAAAATGGAAATGGACCAACACACTTCATGAGGCCTTAGTGTATATGGTGGTGAAGGGCATTGAGGATCAACTACCATGAGTGGTGACAGTAGATGAAGTAGCTGAATCCACCAGTTAGTGTCATATACCATTCTCCCTGCTGATGTTGTGGCCCCTCAACTGACCCAATCCATGCCTTCTCAAGGGTGTGGACATTCCATGAGTGGTGGGTGGATGATGTTGTCCTTTGTCAACATCCAACTTCTCACTTTGACCTCAGCTCTGCCTCTGATTCAGTGTGATTCTGGATCTTGTACAAGCCCAATTATATATGCACACATATGGAGTCTTAGGGGGATCACAGAAAGTCACCACCACTACTCTGAAAATACAGCTACCTATATTCATGCCCAGGTGCTTGGTGCTCATGCAGCACAATATCTCACTGCTCATGGCTATACATGTGAGGCTATTGACACTATGATATGTGCACATAATGGCACATTAAGTGACCACATATTTGCTCTTTGACTTTCGCAACATGGCCTTGCCATGGCAGAGGCTTTGTATTTGTGGCATTTGATTCAGTTACAGTGATCTGTCTTGTGCTGACTTTTGCTTGAACACTATTAGTTGTATACACAAATTAACAACTGATTTTTGCCTAAACATGTGCATGACTCTGCAAAATCTAACTATCAGACTGGGAATATGAAACAAAACAGCATGAAACACATGGGTATAAAGTCCTGAGATATTCTGGAAGGCACTGTCTAGTGTCTGAATTCTTCATGCTACAGAGTGTCTGGAGACTAAAGGGTGTACATGCAAATGTGCTAATAGGTATGAAGCAAATACATGATTAGGATTAGTTGTTTGTGTGTATGGTTATCTGCTGTAATAGGCATATGTAGTAAATCTCCTATCGCAATGACATGCTCTTACTACTCTGACAACTTCGACATGAGGTGGATAGTCTTGGGACATTCTGGGAGGCACTGTCTAGTGTCTGAATTCTTTGTGCTACAGAATGTCTGGAGACTGAAGGGTATACATGCAAATGTGCTAATAGGTACAAAGCATATACATGATTAGGATTAGTCATTTGTGTGTATATGGTTATCTGCTGTAATAGGCATACATAGTAAATCTCCTATCATGGCAACATGCTCTCACTACTCTGACAACTTCAACATGGGGAAGCTGAAATTATACAAAACACAAGATCAAAAGGTTTTGGCTGCTCAGGCTTATTGAATGAAATACTATCAGAGGTATCAAATCTATTTCTCTTTATTCTGAAGGATGCTTCTCGGCTCAGGGCTGTTGTTCATCCTCAGCCATAGAGATGAAATCAACCTCAAGCTCAAGGCAAAACGAGGCAGAGCCAAGAGTTCTTTCCAGTATGGAGGAGACTTCTTTGTATGATTGGGTTTCTAACTAGTTGTCACAGTGAGCTACTTACTCTTATGAGTCTAGGGCGATCCATTTGGACACAGAACCATCCCCTGAACTGCTGTGCACACTCACTCCACTCCTCATATATTGTGATCTGACACCCTTCAGTGGTCCCAGTGAATGATGGGACACTGAACCATCCCCTGAACTGTTGTGTGCACTCACTCCACTCCCCATATCCTATAACCTGACACCCTTTGGCAATCCTAGTGAATGACAGGACACAGAATTGTCCCCTAAGCTGCTGTGCACACTCACTCCACTCCCCATATCCTGTAACCTGAGACCCTTCAGCAATCCTAAGGAAAAACAAGGATTTAGGCCCAGGCAGGTCAGAGGTACTCACCCAGAACAGTTTCATGCCTCATTGCACCCCAATAGGTGGTTTCATGTCAATTCTTCATCGTGCTCTGGGCCAGATTCCATTGATCAGATCAACCACTCACTGAAGGCAATAATAGGGAACTCCTGTCACTTGTTTATGGACAACCTATGCCAAAACTATGTTGATAGTGGAGATTATTCAAAAATTTGGGCTGTTCTGTCTAAGGTGGATGGCTTGGAGTCACAAGTGCATATGTTAAAATGGCAACACTGGGACAACCTGAATGATCCTACCAAGGAAATGTATGGTCATATTCACTTAGTATCACAAATTCTGGAGGACCTCTTGATGAATGCTATGGAAGGTGCAGATGTAGCTGGGATGCATACAAGAGGCATTTTATTGTTCCAGAACTACCCACTAGACACTATGAAGTACTACAGAATGAAGTGGTTCTCTCACTATCCAAATGCACTGACCCTGCACTTGCCACAGTTTTGAGAACAATGACTTGTGGTATTTGATAATTGAAGATCTCCAATTTATCTGAATCGCCATCACTGTCTTTGCTCTTGCACTTTTCTCCTACATGCTGGTTGCATAGTTACTCAGTGGCCATTCTGTGAATCTGATGTGTTCTGCAGTGGCCAAGATCTGTACATGAGATACATGGATGCATTGTATGAAGACACATCAATGTGCTATGCAAGCATGAAGACAGACTACCATCATTGCCTTCACTCTCGCTTGGTGGCCATTCCATGAATCTGAGGCTTTCTGCAGTCACTGAGATCTGTAACATAAGATACATTGATATATTACACAGAAGACTTGCCAACAAATACCTTTTAGGATCTGTGTTAATTTTTCATTTTGAATGCAGTGGCCTAGATCCCTAATCAATGTAGATCACCTAGTGTAAGATAAGATGTGTTGATGTGCTCCTTGTTGAATGCAACAAATGTATCAGCATGTTCTGCATCAATGTGTTAGGTATAAAATGTTTTGTTTATATGCCTCACCTTGTCTTGACTCTCTGTCCATTGCATTATAACTGTTGGCTGCCAGCAAGTTTGATTTTGTTGCACAGTACACATTAGGGTTAGTGACTGGCATCACATTGTAGACATGCCAAGGAAGGAATGGACAACCCCCAAGCAGAAGAAGTTTTTGCAGGATGAGTTAGTGCAGTACTTGAGTATGAGCACCAAGGAATACTCATGATACTGGCCAACTGTCTTCAAACAATGGTCACAACTCTGGCTCAAGAGGGCTGTTGCATTCCTGGACCTCCCACCAGATGTATCATTGACTCTTGAGCAGGACAAGATCCTCAGAGACACTGTCACCAAGTGCCAACAGGTCAGCAATACCACATTACTTCATGGAAGAGCTCACTGAATTTCATGCAGCAATTATGACAGTGGTTGTGCTGGCATGCAGGATCTGGGAAAAATCGGGCTGTGAACAAGAAGACATTGACCATTATTGATGGCTTGATGAAAGCTAAAACTTGCATAAAAAAGCTGCTGGAAATTTATTCAAAAATGTACTATACCTCATGGGTCAAGCCTGACATCTTGACCAATAGTAACATTTCCAGTCTTTGCAATCAGATTGACAAAAAGTTTAGGGTGGAACCTCAAGAGATCCAAGACAAAGTTATGTGCATCCATAACGAGCAACATACCAGTAGGAAGATGCCCCCTGCTGAGAGTGACAATGAAATCAGTGCTGATGTTGATGCTGAAACATGTAGAAGGTGGGAACACTGGCTGTGATGCTGAGGGCAGTTAGCACTCATTCCTCTTTCAGTAATATACAGCAGTGCATGCCAGCACTCATGCAGGTTCTCACCCATTTGTCACAAAAGACCAGTTGGTCCTTTTCAGTTCTGATGGGTGGGCCAGATCTGGCAGATGCTGAGGAGTAGTGTGTGGTTGCAAGGTGAGCAAAGTACTACTAATTGTGTTTTAGCTCACACAACAGTGTTTGTAAAGCCTTCACATTGGGAAGAATAGATATGGACTTAATTTTGCAGAGTCTTACCATCACTTTGACTCCACTGTGGTGCAAGCATATGCAGAATTCCTTGACTCCAAGCTTCATAAGTTTTTATTCTTTAGTTAGAAAAGCCACAATGCTGACTGGGAAGATGATAATGTACCTGTCATTGCAGCCTCCTCCATCAGCAAGAAAACAGGCCACAACAAGGGCAGTGATGCAAACGATGGTGCTGATGTCATGAAGGGTGACAATGATGATGAGCCTGACAACCACAGGAACATGGATGATGAAGATGATGCTGATGTTGGTGAGGGTCAGGAAGGTAATGATGCAGGCATTGGCAAGGACAACAAAGGGGATGATGTGGGCATTGGTGACGACCAGGAAGGTGATGATTCAGGCATCAATGATGACCAGGAGGTCAACAATGCTGGGTGTTCGGAAACGTTGAGTGATGCTTCCACTCTCATATTTATATTCTCAACACTTTGGTATTTAAGTGTTGCAACTTCTTGTGATGGTATGTCTGTTGCAACAACTCCACCCCAACTTGTCACAGGTTCTGCTCTTGCAACATCATGTTATCCTATTGTCTCGCCACTGTGCATTCAGACCATGCATCTGAGTATTGCAAGTCTGGCCAAAACTCCAGCATATGTTGCAACACCTTCACGCATTGCAATGCCCAGTTCCATCATGGGACTTCCAAGTGTCACAATGCCCAAGCACACTCTTGTCCCTTCAGTGAGTATCCAGCCTTCTGGTATTTCCAATCATCTTTTATCTTCACAGGATTTTGGCTCTTTTGGCATGGAACTGGATAACATTCTCCAGGCCAACACAATGTTGATGTTTACACCACAGTGGAACTTTGATGGCCTACCCCTCATTAGCTCTAACCCTGCAACTGTCCATGCTACAAACCATTTGATGTCTCTTACTGGTAGTACTACCAATTCATATCTGGACTATTTCACAATGGCGGGGCAATATGAGCACTTAACACAAGACCTGCCTTTGTTACCTCCCACCCCATCTGATGACAGCTCTCTGCCACCAGCCTCCAAGGCACTTGGGGACCCTCTGCTAGGCTGTCCTAAATGCAAACCAGTCCCATCCTTGTGTGCCCATTGAGACAACATGATAGGCGATGTGGATAAGGAGAACAGTTTGGTGGTGCATAGGGTGAAGAAGAAGTGATGTGAACTCAAGGATGGTGTGGCAAGGAAGCCAAAGTAAGTCACACAATTCAATTGGGATGTATGTTTTGATGATAATCATTCATGCTAGGAAAAGGAAGACAGTTCCTTAAGCTTTTTGTAATTCATACTCTTTGTTGAAATTGTCTCATCATCATGTATATGTCATACTTCTATGTGCAAATGTGCTTGAGCTATCCAACTGCATATGCCAGCAGATAAGCAATTAAGTTGTAATTAATACGGTGGTCACAAGGTGTTGCAACATATTGCAATGAAGGGTGCTACAATGCATTACAATGAAAGTAGTATAGACATTGCAATGGGTGTTGCAACATTACAATGCATTGCAACAAAAGGGGCAAGGGTGCTACAATGCATTGCAATGAAAGTAGTATAGATGTTGCAACAAGTGTTGCAACATGCTGCAACAAAATTAGTATGATTGTTGAAATGTTGACAAAATGTTGCAACACTCTTTTCAACAACCCTGTTGCCATGAACAATGCAACACTACCTGATGGTAGTTACTGCTTTTCATTGCAAGAATGTTACACTAATTGCTCAAGGCTTCATGCAATGTGTATTGACTTGACAAATGTAATATCAAAACATAATGCACAAATGTGATCACATGTTTGGATGTTCAGATAATCTTGTGGCCATCTCTTTCCCTTGATCTCACTCTTCCTCCAAGTCATTTGCCCATGTTGTGGTTGAAGGGGAGTGATTTATGCATTCCTCCAACTTGATTGCCAACATTGTGGTTTCAGGGTGAGTCACTCATGCATTCCTCCAACTTAATTTCCAGTATTGCAGTTGCAGGGTGGTCAGTTGTGCATTCCTCTGACTCAATTGCCAACCTTGTGGTTGCAGGTCAGTCAGTTGTACATTCTTCCAACTCAATTTCCATACAGTAGTGCCAGCAGAGTGGTAAGTGGTGTTCTTACTTGCTACCACTGGCTCACCTTGATTTCTATATTCATGTTACCAGGAGGTTGCCAAACAATTCCTCAAACCCAAACTTGAAATGTCTCAATCTCCCCCCAGGCTGATTACAGCAGCAGGTTAGTTGATGACACTGCAATGGCAAGTTACCTACCTTACCCCATTTGTTGCAGCATTGATGATGATTCTATGGGCCTGCATTGCCCACAGAGATGATGTTCATGTCCATGGGGTACCCCCTAGTGTACTGATGCCATGATCCATCACCTGGTACTGCTTGTCATTCATGTATTTAAGTTGAGGTGAGTGCACCATATCTTCTTACATTGAGTGCATACTTTGCTCCATGATGTCTTCACTCAACCCTGTATTTCTCTCACAATTCACTGAAGGTGCTATTGCCCATGAAGATTGTGTTTGTGAATGTCTGGCATGTGGTGCCATTATACCCAAAGGAGCACCAAGGCACTACATTGCAACCATCAACATTTGCAATGTCTTTGGAATTTATGAAATGTGGAAGGGGATGCAGTCTGTTGCAAGGTTGTGTTGGGATTAAAACATGTTTCCCAGAATTAGGGTTGCAGATTTCTAGAGACTGTTCTCCATCAGGGAAATCATGGAGGATGCTGGAGAGTAGCAGAAGAAGGGTTGACTGAGCAGTAAGTTGAAAGGCATGTGGTCAATGACTTGGATTTGTAGATGAGCCTTGATGTTTCCTATGTGCAAGGTGGCATTCTCTATGACCCCAAGGGTGCTTTCTTTGGACTGGTCAGTGGCCTCCAGAGTCATAGTCATGTCAGTATGGAGGGGGGCCCCTAAGGCTTCCCACAACTCCTATCGCAAGGCCACTACCTGACATCCACTGTCCAGGATACATTTGATGTGAAGTTTGTCCATTAGGATGCCATCAACAGCATGTAATGGTGCAGTCGCGAGGCCTACACACTTCCCTTCTGTGTCTCTGACCCAATACTGTTCATAGGATGCCCAGGTAGCAGAGGCAGAAGCTTCCAACGCCATTTCTAAGCTCCCAATGGTTATCTTCTTCATCACAGCTAGCTCTCTAACCTGCTTGTGAATCTCTGGGCTGACAGCTAAGGGATCTTTAGTGGAAATTTCTATCTTTGCATCTAAGACTTGGTCTATGAGTTGTTTGGTAGCTGCTGCTTTGTCAAAACCACTTTGATAATGAAATTGGGGTGCAGAATTTGTTGTAGGCTTGGATTTCTGGAGATCTGTGGGACTAGAGATGACTGGAGTTTTAGTAATGGCTGGGATCTCTGTAGAAGGGATGGAATTGGTTGGTGTGGAATTAATGACTGTCCTGGGGATGGTTGACACATTAGCAGGCACTGGACTTGTCATGGGGTTTTGTGGATGGTGGGCCAGAATATCTACACTGTCAAAACAAGTGACCTTCTTCTTGATATTATTTTTCAATTCTTCTACTTGTGTGTAAGCTCTTGCCAGGGCATGCTGGTCTTCTTCATTGGTATTACTCTCTAGTTCTTCATCAATTAGGTAGGAGGAGGGATGTAAGTCGACCTGAAACTCCATGGATTCTTCATTAGTGAAGAACATCATGCTGATGAGATGAGGTGGGGTATCATGTCCTCAAGATGAGTTCGATGACTGGCTAGGACATTGTACAGAGATGAGGTTTGCTGAGGCAATGATAGAGTCATGCATGGCAAGGAAGTTGTCAATCTTTTCTTTAAAGTTTTGGCCAGTGGCTGTCCTAGGAATGTCAGAACCATCAGGCATAAATACTCTTTCCCCTATCAGGGTGCATTTCCTGGCTTGTACATATTCACAACACAGTGTGCACTCTGCTGTGCAGTGACCATCAGTGCTCCTGCAGAAGAAACACTGTGGATCGAAGGAATGATGGAATTGGCCTTCTTGACCTTGTTGTGGAGGCGGGGCAGAAGCAGGTTGCTGGGCAACTTGTACATACTTGCATTTTAAGATAGTGGGAACAGTCAACAAAGAAGGGGGTGTGGAGTTCTGGGGAAACAAAGCCAAAGAATCAGGCTGAGGGAGATTTCATTTTGCTCAACTGAGCAGGTAGTTAGCATGCTTGTAGACCAGATCAAACTCCCAAGGCTCATCAATGTCATGATCTAGGTCAGAAAGTTGCAATCACATGGGCAAGGAATTCCAGAACCTCAGGGGAAACCCCTTGAGGAATTTCTCATTGATGTAGTCATCAGGAAGTTTCTTCTTCTTCTGGACAAGGCTGAGGATGCATTGAAATTCCCAGACGTATTTACTGAGATCTTCCAGTGATCCCATAGGTTTCTGAACTTGATGGTAGAGTAAGGTTTTGAGGTCAGCTTTGGTATAGTGATGATCTTTCACCAAGGAACCTGGGTAGTAGTTCAGGAGTTCTTTGGAAATCATGTCCCAGTCATTGAAGCCATCGGTTGCAGCATCTAAGGTGGACCAAAATTCCACCTTGTTGTGATCAGCATAACAGATGGCCCAGTGGATTTTATCTTTCCTGGTGTCAAGGCCAGCTTTGACACAGAGTTGTTCCATGTCTTCAAGGTAGCAAGTGATGTCTTCAGTATGACCAGAAAACTTTGGGGCTTTGTTAGAGCCCCTGAGTAGCATGTCTCTAGCTCCAGACATTATGTGAATGGATGCAGAATTTAAGAGTGGGGCAACTGAGGTATTCTGAGTGGGAACTTGGGCAGGGGAAACAACAGCGGGAGTTAAAGTGAGTGATTGTGAAGGGATAAGAAGTTGTTTGGCAGTGAGTTTGGAATTACTAGATAACAAGGACAAAGAAGAGGTTAGTTCTGAGAGAGGAAAAAGTTCTTGATGCTCTGCTGGAGGATTGAAGGGTTCATCAAAGTCAAAACCTCCTGGAAATGCTGGGTAAAATGCTGGGGGCTCTGGGCTCCAAAAGATCTTGTCTAAACTGAGATCTGAGTCTGATGAGTGTGGCTCTGAAATATCTCTGGGATCAGCTACCAGGATTAAGATTTCTGATGAAGAAATAGATAGTCTGTGGAAGGGCTCTAGGAGCTCTTTGAGTTCAGTTCTTTGACAAGTGGGTTGTAAGGATCTCCTTTCCAGATCTACAGACCCCTCACAGTGGGCTCCAAAACGATGTGGGACACTACCTCTGGGTAGTGTGTGATTAGGGGGGGGGGAAGCTGCAGGGTAATCCCTAGGCTTGACCCAAGGGGTGCTGAGTAGGAAGGAGATGTAGAATATGATGGTAGAGATGATCAAGGAGTCAAATGTGGGGCACAGAATATAATTCCACAGAGATGTAGGTGAATTGGGTATGAGTAGACTTGTTTGTGAAATTCCAAGTGACAACCTTGGCATGAAGAAGTTTTTCTGAGACTTGTGAGACACAGAGGTGAGACACAGAAATGCAGAAGGCACAGTAGATGCAGAGTACACAGCAGACACTTTGAACACCTAGACATGTGAATGACTTGGATAGTGACTCCAAAAGATGGGTGCTCTATTTCTGACATCATGGTGGAATTATATAGTACAAGAGAAGTAGGTATGAGTTGGAGTAAGGTGGGGCAGAAAAACTAAAAGACTGGAAAATAAAGGAATGGATGTCAGACATCAGCAAAATACAGATGCACATGAAATAGTCCAGTGGGTAGTAGACAAGAGTAAGAATGGGACAATGGTAAGGGGTATCTTCTGACAGAACAAGAGCATGTGTACCAGTGGGAGGTGGAGCTGAGCAGCACAGGAGGGCAGAGCATAGCATACTGGCATGAAGTCCAGCTTGCAGAATTTAGGGCAACAGGGGAAACCAGAGTTTTTTTTAGAGGTAAGTGGCATGGATGACTGGTGATGTGGCTGAGTGGTGGCATGGCTGTTGAATTCCAGGTGACTCTGTGCAAATGCAGAATTTCCAGATCAGCATTTTGATGACTGAGTAACATGCTGAAGGTCAGTAGAAACTCCAAGGGTGACAGGGGTCAGGAGGAAACATGAGGACAC